TGAAAGATAAAGACTTTTTGTGCTAATTACTCATATCATAATCTTAACTTTGTCTGCCACAATAAAATAATGGAACCGGTCAACTAAATTTAAGATAGATTTATGAAATCTTTTCACCACTCCTTTTGATTCCTTGTTACACTCAATGGAAAACTAAAAACAACTAAATTTTAAGCTGCTATAAACAATGAAAAAAAATATCGGATTGTTCTGATACAAATTTATTATAATAATAGGCGAGAAAAGATGATTATGAACTCAAGAACAAAATAATTTGGAGAGGATATGATATTTCATTAAAATATGGAGAAAGAATATAATGATTTTGTGTTTATAACTTGTCTAACTTATAATGAGATTAAGCAATCAAACTAAATTTTAGAGAAGAGCCAAATATTTATAGAGAATACATAGGAGACGTCTCAAATAAAGAGGAGACATCTCAAACCTAGAATTAGAGTTGTAAATGGAAAGGAACGCTCAAAAAATGAAAACGGGCTTGGACCGGATGAGCAGCTGCTTGAGCACCAAGTGGGTAGGGTTAGTACCATTCAAGCGCCAATCCAACGCCAAGCAAATGCTAGTTCTCTACACAAAATTTTGACAGCATCGCTCAAGTGATAGCTTAGCGGTTTGCTAGTAGAAATGCGCCCAAAGTTTCTCCCTAATCCATATCTTGACCTCTTCAAATCCAACACAAAATTACAAATTCTATTTGGGCTTTTAAATAAAACTTCAACTAAAATTTGTCAAATAAATTTCGAGTAGGATTCCAAAACAACATTCCGAATTGATTTCTTCTTAAGTTGACTTTAATTAGAATTTTCAAATATCTTCCATATAGAAGTTGAATTGCACCATAATTCTAACAAACTCCATTTTAACATAAATTCCACTACAATGAGGAAACTTCAAATATTCTTAACCTAGAGACAAATTCCACTCAATGAATAAATTTCAACTCTTTAACAAAAACCACAAATGAAATTCTCCATCAAGATTTTTAACTGAAAATATTCTCCAAAACTCTAACACCCAACTAGGATAAAACTCAATAATTGAGTATTAAAAAAATTCCAAGAGCTACCTTGGACACCAAAGTTGCTCGAATGACAAGCAACAAAATTAAACGTAATTAATAATTACCAAACAAGGTTGAAACAAGCTCTATAACAGAATCACCACAACTGAATGCATCAAAAGAAGGATTTTGACTAGAATCAACATCCTTAATAGCATTTAAACCATCTACTAAATCGGCAGCATTATACCCACATGGAGCTTATGATTAAAAATGGGTCTGTTACTAACCATTGAATACAATGGCACCGTTGATAATGATAGCAAATCAGAATTATTTTACTGATCTAAACTGATATGTATTCTTCAAAGAAGACCCCACTCTAATGGTACATAATCCAATTTTAAATCCAAGAGTTCATAAAATTTGTTGATTGATGAGAGATAATGGATAACATTGCAAGTAATATAACAAAAAATGAGCTCTTTTATGAGCCTTCAGGACTCCACCTTCACTTGTGTACTTATACTCTATTGAATAAAGAGTACCTAAGGAGATTAGGTTTCTCTTCAAATTAGGAACATGTCTCATTATGTCAAATGTTCTAATCATTCCATCTAACATCTTTATTCTTACTCGGCCTATAGGGTTGTACATGGTTCGGTTTGGTTTGGTTCTAAAGAGAACCGAACCGGATCTAAAATTTTCAAGTATTTAGTAAGTGGAATCGTCGAGTCCAAATTTAATTATGAAACAATTTGGGTTCGGTTTTCGAGTTCCGTACTATAATTAATTTTTTTAATATTTATAAAACTACATTGGCTCAACTAATGACATATTCAATCTTAGTTTTTATAAAATAATATAGTCCAATCTTCTATATCTGTTGTGTCTCTCTTTACTAAGTTTTTCATAGATTTGATTGTTAAAATCACAGAAGAGGAAGATGGTGAATTCACAATAATTAAGAGAAGCGTAGTCAAACTTCAATTCAATTTATCAAGAACAATAAAATAACAGATTTAGGTAAAATTTAGGTTAATTTGATTAAGTTGGACTTGAACTAGAAATTGGTAATAGAAAAATCAAATTTTTAGGTTTGAGTTAAAATAATTAATTGGCAAATTTATTTATAAAAAAATAAAAAATTTGCCTTATTTAAAATAAATTAATTAAAAAAATTATTGAGATTCAATTCTTATTTACTTTTTTGGTGCTTGTTCTAGAATCGAGAACCGAACCAACCAACTGATTTTCAATTTAGATACTTGTTCGAATATTTAACTTAAAAAGAACCATTCAATTTGGTTCAAATTGGGTCGGGTTCAGTTCGAAAGTTTTGTCCAGCTCTACCGACCAATATCAGCTATCCTATAAGGCATATTATTTTACATTACTACAACACATTTTGAAATTCTTTCATATACTGAAAATAAATCCAATTGGGACACATATGAAAATTACAAGTTGTATCAAGAATCCAATCCTCGTCAAGTTTGGAGTCTTAGTTAGAAATAAGTAAAAGTTCTCCATCACTGTGAGAAGATTCTGCAATAATGGCTTCATCTGGATTATCTACTTGCTTTTCCCAAATTCTTGCAATAAATTTTGAAGTAAAACCTTAATTTTCCCCTTGCACAACAACTATCAAGAACAAGGCTATCTTCATGAACCTTGTAATATGCTTTATCTTCTCATTTGAAAATAGATCTTAGGTTCTCTAATGATAAGAGTATCACGGCTATATAAAATCGTATCTCTAAACAACAAATATGAAGCGGGCAAAAAACATAACAAAATCAATCACATATAAGCGAGCACTACTCGCTTGCTAATCTACATGAAATTCTTGTGTTACAATCTCAAAGCGATATATCATACTTCAAAGTTGATATCCCAAAATCAAAATCTCCCTATAAATAAAACCTTAGCTCTGATATCAATTGTTATAAATAATGAAAAAGATATTGAATTATTTTGGTATCAACTATTGTAATAATACGCGAGAAAAGAAAATGGCACACCACCCTAAAAGTAGAGTTAGAGATGAAAATAGTTGCTCAAAACGTGAAAACGATCAGCTGCTCAAGCGAGCGTTAGCTCTCTGCACAAAATTTTAACAGCATCGCTAGGGTTGTAGGCTAGTGGCCAACTAGCAAAAAATCATCAAATTTCTCCTTGGTCCATATCTTGACCCCTCAAACAAAAATTTCAAACTCTCACTTTCAAATAGAATTTGAACTAAAATTTGTCAAATAGACTTGAAATATGGTTTCAAAATAACATTCCAAATAAAATTCTTCTTAAGTCAACTTCAATTAAAATTTTCAATTTTCTTTTAATAGAATTCGGGTCATACCCTAATTCTAACATAAGCAATCATAACAAACATGTAAATTTAATGAAAAAGAAGCTAGTAAATATGCTAAGTTGTACAAAAATTTCAAATATTTTATCATTTCCATTTCTGATAAGATTCAGAAGTTTGAGAAGAGTTTCTTCTTTTTTTAAATAAAATTTCAAAAACTCAAAGGAAGCTTTTAGAGAACTTTTGATCAAAATATTTGAAAACTTTATATCAAAAATTGCTTTTATTTTGAACTTTTCTTGGGCTTCATCTAAAACTTATCTTAATTATAGGCTTCAACTACAAACTTATATAATTTTATGCTTTAATTCTTATACTTCAATCCAACTAAAGAGTTATTAGAGTTTGAATTCTTATTAATTAGCATTTACATTCGAAATTATTTTATAAGAATAAACAATAATTTTTTGTACAACATGTTTATTGAATATAAGTTAGAGATTTTTATCTCATGCTTATCATATTGTAAATATTCTCATTCCTAAATTAGTTATTTACTGAATATAGCGATGCCTTCCATTGCTGTATAAACGCACGATTGTATGCTTCAATAAATCAATGAGAATAACTTCATTCCATATCAAAGTCTAAAATCTATCATGGTATCAAGCATTAGGTCTCCAAACTCCATACCTTCTTCCTGCCATGGCCGAATTTGCCCCTGCTACGGATGTTTCATCTCCTTACTTCTTGTACTCATCAGATCAACCAAATCAATTTCTTATCGATACACCTCTCAATGGTGATAATTACCCCGCTAAGCGCCGAGCAATCGCCCATACATTGAATGCCAAGAACAAACTGGGCTTCGTTCTTTGCACCATCACACGTCTTGTCAATGACATTGTCGTCGCGCTTCTTTGGAACCATTGCTGTGACATGATAATGTCATGGCTCCTCCACTCAATTGATCATTCTCTTACAGGCAGCCTCCTCTATTGTGATACACTGAACGATCTATGATTGGAACTTGATGTGATTCCGAATAGGCCACAAGCTATACGGAGTTTGAAGTTTAGCAAGGAGAGATCAGTTGCAAATTTGAGCTTACTTAGAGTCAATAAAGGTCGAACTATCACTTGTACGGGATACAACCAAAATGTCGAAGCTTGCAAGCCAAGGACCAAGTCTCATGATGCGATTAAGGCCAAAATAATTCGGATTTGTTTGTATACGCAGCCACCGAAGATGGCGAGTCGAACCACAATGCGGTCACATATTGGAGAACACATGCGACCATATGGTGACATTCAGAGACAAGCAAGCCACAAATCAAACCGCAACCCATAACCCTATGTGGTCATATAGACCAATCCCGGGACCAAGAATTTCCTTTTTCGCAAAATAGTTTATTTTCACTATAATTCTTATTTTTGGTAACTTTTCATATTTTAGGACTTTTAATTACGTTTTAACAGTATTTTAGGGTTAGTATAAATAAGATTTTATTCTTTCATTGTAATTGAATTTTGATTTTGAGAGATTAATTCAAGGGGTTGTTTGCTTCCAATTTCTTTGTTCTTGATTGAATAATTCTTCGAACTTACCAAAATTATTATCTTGTGGTGTTCAAAACTATCGGGTGAGATTCTTGAATCTTGTAATCAAGAGGTCAATATATCAATTGATTATTGGTTGCTTGATTCAATATATCTGGGTCAAATTCAAAACCTTGTTTATTTGGCTTTCTTGGGTTTAGTTTCAATCTAGTTATGGGTTTCATAGCCATCGCTACTACGCGAGTTTGCATCAGAACTAGAAACTCGATTTTAGCAAAGGAACCATACCAAGATTTTTCGCCTCAAAAGTAACTTAGCTAACCTCCAAAATCTCTACAACCTACCAACCAATGTACATGTGGTGCTTCGAAATCCCTCTGTACACTCCAAGAATCTAATCGGGTGTATCAATCTTCATGGGCCTTAACGAGAGGTTCCAATAACTCCATTCACAAATTTTGGCCACTGATCCTCGGTCGCCACTACGCTATTCTCCATTAAGAGGAGACCCAGTGTCTAGTTCAATTGCCGCACCTTGACCAGAGGCCTCAGCCCTAATCGCTTGCTCGCCAACACCATCGCAACCTCCATCTTGCCCACTCCATACTTGGCCTGCCGGAACACAACTTTGTGAAGCATGCGGCAAATCAGGACATCACCGTATCAAATGTTTCAAGGTCATTGGCTATCCGGATTGATGGCCATCCAAGAGCAAACCTGGGACATTCCGTCTCCCATCTTCGGCAATACACCAATTGTCAGCCAACTTCAACGCTCCTATAGTGAGTAGCATTCTCGGCCTCTCCATCGAACAATAAAATCAACTCATGGAGCTTCTCAAACTGTGATCCCTTTCTTTTGCAAGTAACTCCCATTTCTATGCTAATTCTATTTATTAACAATTGTGGGTTATTGATAGTGGAGCAACCCACCTTACTACAAATCAATCCCTCCACAATTCTAACATTGTTAACTTTTTCCATAATTTTTCCACTATTACAAACCTGCCCCCTATTAATCTCAATACTAGTGTTTGCCCTCCTTTGTTTGCCTTCCCACAGGTGCGCATGCCCCCATGTCCAGTATGGGTGATATTTATCTATCCCCTACTCTAACTCTTTCTAATGTTTTATATGTCCCTGATTCTAAATTTAATTTATTATATGTTAGCAAACTAACTCAATCTCTCCACGCGTCTCTTTTTTCCTACCTTTTGCACTTTTCAGGACCTAACCATGAAGAACCTGATTGGTGTGGATGGGGAGCGTAACAGACTATATTACTTCAAGCCTCTTCCCGCAACTGCTATCCAATCATTCGGTCACATCTCTTTTGATACATGGCATCTACATTTGGGTTATCTCTTTTTACATAATGTTCCCCGTTTTATTCCTCGTCCCAAGACTATTGATCATTGTGATACATGTAATCGTGGAAAACATACTCGATTCCCTTTCAAATTAATTGATAATAAGAGTTCGATGTCTTTTGAACATACTTTTTGTGATATTTGGGATGGTTATCATATTGCGTCTTCCTCGGGTGCTCATTATTTTTTAACCATTGTTGATGAATTTACTCGAGTCACATGGTTATACTTAATGCGTTACAAATATGAAACTTTGCCTTATCTTCGTGCATTTTTTTCTATGATTCATACACAATTTAATTCCAAAATTCACCACATACGCACTGATAATGGTCAAGAATTCATTGCTCGAGCCACACAGGATTCCCCTCTCTAAGCAGGGTACTCTTCATGAACGCACTTGTGTAGAAATACCGCAACAAAATGGTGTTGCCGAATGAAAACATCGTCATATTCTAAATGTGGCTCGATGTTTTCATTTTCAAGCTCATCTACCTCTTACTGATTTGGGAGAGTGCGTCCTTACCACTACATACCTCATCAATCGCACACCATCCTCTTCTCTACAAAATTCACCACATACGCACTGATAATGGTCAAGAATTCATTGCTCGAGCCACACAGGATTCCCCTCTCTAAGCAGGGTACTCTTCATGAACGCACTTGTGTAGAAATACCGCAACAAAATGGTGTTGCCGAATGAAAACATCGTCATATTCTAAATGTGGCTCGATGTTTTCATTTTCAAGCTCATCTACCTCTTACTGATTTGGGAGAGTGCGTCCTTACCACTACATACCTCATCAATCGCACACCATCCTCTTCTCTACAAGATATATCCCCTTTTGAGTGCCTTTATCATACAACACCTTGCTATGATCACTTATGCGTATTTGGTTGTCTTTGTTATGCACACACTACCTCTGCCCACCGAAATAAATTCCAACCTCGTGCTTGCCCTTGTATTTTTCTAGGATACCCTTCGACTCATAGTGCATATCGGGTTTACGATCTCGCAACTAAGAAATTCATCATCTCTAGGGACGTTACTTTTATTGAACATGTTTTTCCTTTCCAACTATTGCCTCAATCCTCTTCTTCACCCCTTCTCTTATCCCTCCCTATTCCCGACTCTCCTACTTCATCAACACCAATATCTACTCCATCTAATCCTAATCATTCTCTCCCTGTTGCCCTTCTAGTTCCTCCCCCTACTCGACTTCGCAGACTATACAATGTCCTTCCCATCTTGTTGACTACATCTGCCCTACGCTACCATCGACTTCATCCGTTACACCCTCTACTGCTCCTGTCACATCTTCAAGTGCAATTTATCCTTTATCTCGCTTCGTCTCATATCATAACTTCTCCCCTGTTCATTTTGCCTCTCTATCTACTTTACCATAATCTCCTGACCCTACTCAGTATTCTCAAGCTATCAAGCATTCCCATTGGCATGATGCTATGCAGAATGAAATTTGAGCCCTTGAGTCTCTTCACACTTGGCTTCTTACATCACTTCCTTGAGGTAAGAAACCTATTGGTTGTAAGTGGGTGTTCAAAACCAAGCTCCATGCGGATAGTTCCATTGAGCGATATAAGGCTCGATTAATGGCCAAGGGCTACACTTAATTGAAGACCTTGATTATCATGACACTTCTGCACATGTGGCCAAACTTCATTGTTTGTTGTGTATTAGTTATTGCAGCAGCCCGTAATTGGCATCTCCATTAATTAAATGTTAATAATGCATTCCTTCATGGCAATTTAGTAGAGGAGGTATACATGACGCTTTTTCCAGTTTATGGTCGAAAATGGGAGACTCGTGTCTGTCGTTTACTTAAATCTCTTTATGATCTTAAGTAGGCATCACGTACCTGGTACTCGAAGCTCTCTTCTGTATTGTTATACATCTAATGGGCTCGCAAAGTCTACAGTTGACCATTTTTACTCGAACGGTTGGCTCGTCTTTTACTGTGGTCCTTGTTTATATTGATGATACTCTGATTGTAGGTAATGATCTCTCTGTCATTACTGTCCTCAAAGCATTTCTTGATAACTGCTTTAAAATCAAGGATTTGGGTACCATGAAATACTTTCTTGGCCTTGAAGTTGCTCGCTCACCCCTTGGAAATTTTTTCAATCTGCGAAAGTATACATTAGATATTCTTTCAGACTCTGGCAATTTGGGTTCATGGCCTACCTCTTTTCCTATGGACTAGAATTTGAAACTCAACCTTACTGATGGGATTTTACTCTATGGTCCTAGTGTATAAAGGTGATTAGTGGGTCGACTATTGTATCTCACTATTACTCGTCGAGACATCTCATTCTCCGTGAACATGTTGAGCTAATTCATGCAAAGCCCATAGGATTCACATTACCATACTGCACTCTATGTTCTACGGTACTTAAAGGGTTCTCCATGCCATGGGATTTTGTTCTCTAGGGAATGTGATTTTCGTCTTTCCACTTACTCTGATTCTGATTGGGCCGGTTGTCCTATTACTTGTTGCTCTACTAGTGGCTTTTTCATCACACTTGGCACCAGTCCTATCTCTTGGCACAAAAAGAAACAATTCGTTGGTTCTCTCTCCTCAGCTGAGGCTGAGTACCATGCCATGGCCTTGACCCCATGTGAAGTTGTCTAGCTCAAGTCTCTTCTACGCGACCTCACTGTCATGCACTCGCAATGTGTTTTACTCTTTTGTGAGATGTGATTTCTCTACACATCACTCACAATACGGCTTCATGTTTTCACATTGAAATTGATTGCCATTACATTTGAGAAAAATACCTAGCTGGTCTTATTCTTCCTACTTGCATCTCTTCCAAGCTTCAGTGGAATGATGTTTTCACTAAGGCTCTCGGAGAGGATCTTTTTCATCATTTAATTCACAAGTTGGGCATTACGGACCTTCACGCTCCAACTTGAAGGGGAATATTGAGTATAATTTAGAGATTTTCATCCCATGCTCATCATATTGCAAATATTCTCATTCCTAGATTAGTTATTTGTCAAATATAGAGATGTCTTCCATTGCTATATACACACACGATTGTATGCTTCAATAAATCAATGAGAATAACTTCATTCCATATCAAAGTCTAAAATCTATCATCATAGCGTTTTGTATCCTACTTCTTTCAGAAATAGTATTTCCGTGTATTTTGTTTCCCATTTCTATGGGATGGAAGACACATTCTATGTATTATATATGTACTTTTAATTAAGCTGAAAGCTGGAAATTTGTAGATAGGTAACTAATGCAATTAAACACCCATTAATTCTACAAATATTTATCATACAGATGATTGCAAAACTGGAGCAAATGTGGCAAAAACTCAACTCCAGGCTGCTATTGAATATGCAGCCGATTTAGAGCTTGGACGCGGTCAACCACTGGTAAATTTTCTTGGCAGATTGATTTTCAAACACGTGTATCTGTGTGTATGTATATTTTTGAATATTACCAGATGATATGAGTTTCCATTGTCTTTGTAATGGCTTAGGTTTGTGCAAAGTATCCCCATGCTGAGCAGTGCTATGGAGTATACTCAACCTATAGTCCTAAAGTTGCGGTTCGTCTATTTTTTATCAGCAACATAAATTAACAATAGATGTCTTAGAAAAGCGAGCCTAATGTGTAATATAGATGTAGTTGTGCATTGTATGAAGTGACGAAAAAGAATTCAAGTAACTAATTTGATTGTGAATGATTTTTAGGGACGTATAATGTTACCAATGAATCTTAGCACGGATAATGGAGGGCCAATATTTGTAAATGTCAAGCAGTACCACAGAATTTTAAGGCGCAGAGAGTCGCGTGCAAAGGCAGAGCTGCAGAATAAAGTGCTAAAACTCCGCAAGGTCAAATTTCTTCGCGTCTCATTTAAAGTTTAAACTCAATCTATTAGAGAAGGAATTTCACTTCAAGAAGAAGTAACTTAACCTTCTGGTTATAATTGCATATGAGTTACGAAACTGTTCAATTTTTCATTAAATTGTCACTTGACAATCCTAAACAAGTCATATAAATTTTCTCAAACTTTTTTGTATTTTTCAGCCATATCTGCACCTGTCCCGGCATCTCCACGCCCTGCGCCGCCCAAGAGGCTGTGGCGGCCGCTTCCTTAACACCAGAAATTCTGATGGTAGCAAGGACAAGACTGTAACCAAAATGACTGAACAAGAAAAAGTATTATTTTATGAGCAGCCCACTGGATCCCAGATTTCTGAAATACTGCAATCTGGAGGAGAAAATTCAAGCTCAAATGGCGGCAGATTAAACAGTCCAGGTTCTTCAGAGGAGACCAGCCGGATATTCGGGATTGGTCTCCAATCCTTTCATCTCCACCCTCGCTTTCGGCCCTTCTCTGATCATGTGGCAAATCATGGACGTGGGACTTTCATGGCTGGTGATTGGATTGCTGCAGCAGATAACTGCTGCACCCATAAGGTTTGAAGATAGGGAGGGGTGGGGTGGAGGAAGTCCGGTTTTTGGCACCGCACCCCACATTGCAACCAAATGTTTTGGTTGCCCCTGGCAAATCATCCTTGGCTAAAAAAATATGTTAATCTATGTATGTTTGGCGTTCATGCTTAAAAACAGCTTTTTTAGATACACGTGGTGGAGAATAACAGTTAAAGAGCCGCGGTGCCAAACATTCATCCTTAAGATTGCAAGTGGAAACTAGTATGAATAGTGTGTGTGTGTGTGTGTTTTATTCTCGACAGCAGAAGCTGGAAAGCCACAGGGCCAAACTTCCAAGATTCACATGGCAGTGCCTACAGCAAAGATAGTGTGTGTTTTGGTATCTGAACAAAATAAAGAAAATCTGGACTTCTTGTCAGTGTGTATTATATATTTCCAGTTATTCATGTATCTTCAAGAATTTTATGAACTTTATGTTCAAGCCTTCATTTAAGTTAATTCTTAGTAGAAACTTGTGATTAAATTACACTTGCAACATAACTTACAATAATGTGCAATTCTTGATCAAAATTTCAATATATAGTTGCTTTCCAAAATATTTTATATAATATAAAAAATAAAGGACATAAACGTGTCCGAACTAGAAACTTCAATACACAGAAAACTTTTGCATAGAAAAATTAGGATAGCTACTACGCAACAAAGTAAATTTTATGGTCAATGGAGCAAGAATTGATTTGTTTAATGAGATAGTCATCTAGATTTAAGATGAAAGGAAGGTACTTAATAATATAATTCTACCTCTAATTTTTAGGATCTATAGTAAAAGAGATATTTAACATTTATTTGAATCAAAATCCCAATTCCAATAACAATTCTCAGCAAAGTTATAAGATACTTGTAAAATTTTACCTTCAATTTTGGTGATTTGGTTGAAGAAAATTGAACATAGAATTTTTTTTTTTTTTTTTTTTTAATTTTTTGTAACAATTATGAAATAGACAATTGGTTTAGTTGGATCCTAGTTAAAATTTAATTGTTTTGACTATTACAATTGAGAACTGGATAGTTCTAATTTGGTCTTAGTTGTGACTACAAAATCAAATTTTAATTTGAATTCATAATTATTATTTTACCATTTCTCAAATAAATTAACTATGAAATCAATTAATACGAGTTATAAATTCATGAATTAATATGTACTAAAATCAATCGAAACTTTTACACGAGGTAGAGCATAAACTTTGTACAACATTATTTACGTATTTTGCCATTTTTATTTTTTAACAATAATTATAAGATGCACTGAATAGGGATGGACCAAAATTAATGCCCAACTTCATTTCATTCAATCGTAAAATTCTCATTGCTACGTGATTCACTCAATTTTCATCGGACCAAATGGGAAACCTCAGTGAAAGCACATCATTCCAAAAAGAAAGAAACATTTGTCTCCTAAGCAAGCGAACTGAAGTACCCATAAAGGATAGGTTTTAAGGCATGATCGAACTTATTTATGCAGAATTCCATGCTATCGCCACCGTGAGTTATAAATATCCTAAAATATACTTTAAATGAATTAGTTCTTAAACATCGTATCATTATAAGTTAAGATAATTTTGTCCCTGTTTGATTTATATAAAAATAAGAATTTTAGTAGATTTTAATAAAAATTGATAAAATATGTGATCAAAATTTAATATTAATTTTGACTTAAATTTTAATTCAATTTTGTAGTTGAACAAAGAAGGGCTTTGGTTTACACTGTTAATAACGTTAAGGCAACACAACACGCGTTTAGTTGCACTCACGACTAGACCTTATCCTCCCGCTTCCTATCTTCGTAGATTACCGTCACCACGTATGTATACCCCCACGCCGAAACGCCACCGGCTCCACCGTGCACCCCACCCCGCCTTTCTCTCTCTCTCTAATATTTCCACCAAAATCTGCTTCCCAATTTTCATTATTTTCTTTTGATTACAAGAAACAAAAAGAATGTCAGCTGCTTCTGTTACACTTTCAGTGGCAGCCACTGCCACCACCATTTCCAATCCCTCAAACTCAATTCACCATTTCTCTCTCACCGCCACTCATTTCTTTCCCTTTAAATCAAAACCCATAAAGTCTCCAAACCTCAAATCCCATTACAATCTAAATTCCCCACCTTTTTCCCACTCTGTGTTATTCTGTGCTTCGGCTGCATTTGACAGCGTCGAAATCACTCAAGAAGAGACTCAAGAAATAGTACCAGAACAAGAAGTTGTTGAAAAGGGTGAAGACGATGAGGGAGTGGAATCACAGTCAGCTGAAGCTGGTAGATTGTACGTGGGCAATTTGCCATTTTCAATGACGTCTTCCCAGTTATCAGAAATTTTTGCAGAAGCTGGTCGTATTGTTTCCGTGGAGGTCAGCTTTTCGCATTTTCTTGATTCTTAATTGACGAGTAGTTGATTATTGGTTAATTGATACTGGTACCAATTCGTGCGTCATGTCTTCTTATAGTCCATGTGCGTCCTTTAGATAATTCATTCTATCAAAGAAAACCTTCTAGAATACTTAGGCGATTTACTTATCCCTAGCAGCATTCCACCTTAAGTGAAGAATTTCTCACTTAAGAGCCAATGAAGAACATTTGCTTTTCACTTCCAAATTTGACATCTTATCTGATTGTTCTCACTCGGCTTAGAGAAAAAAAGAGTTGGTTTCATAAACAGGTGATTCCACTGTAAACAATAAAAATTATTGTATTTCTTTGTTGTTTCTGTCTCAATTATATAGTTCATTGTTCAATACATTGATGTTTCTTTGGTGTTTGTTCGCCTTGTGTGTATTACGTGACCAAATTTTAACAGGAGCATTATGAAATTTAAACTACAATTCACAGAGTTGTATTATTAGAAGAGAAGATGAAGAGTTGTCGAAGTTGAACTGATAATATTGGTGGAATTGTTCTACCGAAGATAATAAGAAAAGAAAAGATTAAGATATTGCCATTCATCCTTGTGTTTGCTGGTTTCAATATGTATAGATGGAATTTTAATCGACTTTCTGCAGTTACTATTTAAATATTATTGTGCTTGAGAAATGGGATTTTTAGTTATATGTAATTTGGAAATGAGATATTGCGGTGAAACTGGATTTGTTCTTTATCTGTTTCTTTTTCTTTTCTTTCTAAAATTGGAATTGAAATAGTTATGAGATCATGCTGATTTTTTCCTTTCATAGATTGTCTATGACCGAGTTACAGATAGGAGCCGGGGATTTGCATTTGTTACAATGGGCAGTGCTGAGGAAGCAAAAGAGGCAATTCGGTTGTTTGATGGATCTGTAAGTGTCTTTTCTTAGTCATACTGATACTGTGCTCGCTTGTGATGACACAAATAATGTGTTTTCTATAGCTTAGTTGGAATATTTCTTTGAGTTATTCTTGAACTCACGGGGCCTTCCTTTATATAGTTTAAATTTAGTTTTATACTGATTATTAATTTTTTTTGTTGAAATCTTTTAAATATGAGTACGTATTTTTTATTTAATAATAACTTTGAGTTAAGGATGTATAATATATCTGATAAAAGAAAAATGAATATATCCGAGAAGTGTCGATATTTGACACGTGACTGATACAGACACGTCACCCTTGTTGAAGTCTCCTTGCAACAGAGTAAGTTAACATAGTGGCTTTCAGAATTGAAGTCAGGGCTGGCATTTCTGTGAGTGTTAATGTGGTTTCTGACCTTTGTTTAATAGATGCCAATCCCGAAAATGAAATAATTGCTTTCTTTTTTCCTCGCTTCTACCCAAAAATAATCAGTTTATATGTTTTCGGATTGCGACTTACAATTATGCTTTCAACTGCTCTGTCAAAAGCAAATTGGAGGACGAACTGCTAAGGTGAACTTCCCTGAGGTGCCTAGGGGAGGTGAAAGGGAAGTAATGGCTCCAAAGATAAGAAGCAGCTATCAAGGTTTTGTAGATAGCCCCCATAAGATATATGCCGGGAACCTCAGCTGGAACCTCACGTCTCAAGGCCTAAGAGAAGCTTTTGCAGATCAGCCAGGATTCCTGAGTGCTAAGGTAATCTATGACCGGGACTCCGGAAGATCTCGAGGTTTTGGGTTTATAAGTTTTGCATCAGCTGAAGAAGTAGAATCTGCACTAAATGCCATGAATGGAGTGGTATGTTTGACTTAAAAATTGTAATTAATTTTCCATGACCTTCTGTGCTTATCCTTGTTGATACCTCTACTTTTCTATGCAATGCAATTAGGAGCTTGAAGGCCGGCCACTAAGGTTAAACTTGGCGGAGCAGAGAGCACCTGTATCTCCTGCTTTCAACTGCTCTGTCAAAAGCAAATTGGAGGACGAACTGCTAAGGTGAACTTCCCTGAGGTGCCTAGGGGAGGTGAAAGGGAAGTAATGGCTCCAAAGATAAGAAGCAGCTATCAAGGTTTTGTAGATAGCCCCCATAAGATATATGCCGGGAACCTCAGCTGGAACCTCACGTCTCAAGGCCTAAGAGAAGCTTTTGCAGATCAGCCAGGATTCCTGAGTGCTAAGGTAATCTATGACCGGGACTCCGGAAGATCTCGAGGTTTTGGGTTTATAAGTTTTGCATCAGCTGAAGAAGTAGAATCTGCACTAAATGCCATGAATGGAGTGGTATGTTTGACTTAAAAATTGTAATTAATTTTCCATGACCTTATGTGCTTATCCTTGTTGATACCTCTACTTTTCTATGCAATGCAATTAGGAGCTTGAAGGCCGGCCACTAAGGTTAAACTTGGCGGAGCAGAGAACCCCTGTATCTCCTCCGGAGGCTATTCGTAGTATTTCAGATAATGATCTGGAGAACAGTGAGATTCTTTCAAGTTTTAGTCCTTGAGGTACATTTTTGGTACGCCGCACTGGAATGGACATGGCTTGATAGTATAATGAACAAGAGTTTAGCTTATTTTCTTTATCAAAATAATCAAGTTCCATCTAATACTTGTTACTTAACGTACCAGAGGAGTTCAAAGAAATCTGGAATTTTTCATATCGGCCAGAGGATAGCGGAGAGCAGAATGCATGCAAAACTAATGTCAGATTTTGTTATCAGTGCATGCCTTGGGTTTTATTGTATTTATAGTATTATTTGCTTGATTTAATCCTTCTACAGAAAAATACTTCACAGAATTGCACCAAATGCGGGTGTGTCAGCATCTGGTTTGACCTGCTTTTTTTTTTTGGGCCATTATCCAACATATTGCTACCAAGTGTCTTCTGTATAAATTCTAAAAGCCAAATTCTATACGTGTAGAACTACTGTATTTCTTTACTCTTCTAACATGTTATATTGAGATCGTGTCGTTCTTAAGAAATGAAGTTTCTTTGAATCTACGCAAAATATATCCAAACCACCTAAATTGTTCTTTTCGTAGTTTATGCTTAAATGATGCCCCGTACCCGTGTTAGTGTATGCACTTCAACTGTTAAAGAACAAGAGAATAAATTAACACGGACAAAAATATATAAAAATATTTATTGCCAAAAACTAGACATTATTAGTCTTCAAGAAGAAATCATGGAATTTCATTAAAAGTACACAAGATTCTTATAAAAATCAATCCTTCTTTACAGTATCATCCACTTAAAGAAACTTATTTTTAGTGTCACAAAGATGCTCAGAGAAGTTCAGTCGATCCTTGACCAGCAGATACGATTAAAAATGTACCACAGCACAACTGCTATTTTTATATTCGATGGAGAGGAAATGGAATTCAAATGGTGTCGTTACCACCAGCAAGAAGCGCATCTGCTGCGGAGTCCAAATCGTGTGGAAAGAAAACCCTGTACAATATGCACTCTTTTAGAAAACTGGAGCACACAGAAGTCCAGAGGAACCATATATGCTTTCACACAGCATGCCAAATTAATACTTCGAGGGATTTTTTTTCTTTCCCATGGTGGTTCTTAAGAACGCCATATATCCAAGATAAATCCAGATCAAGAAAACGCATTTCCATTAATTAGCAGCTAACGCAATTTAAAGAATGAGAAAAGATATCGATGAACAGTTACCTGCATGTATTGTGATATATCATCTTGCTCAGTTGATCTACGTCAGCAATGCCTTTACAGCCAGCTACCACCTCAAGTACTTGCCTGGAGATTATCGCCGTGATGTGTAAGAAAGAGTAAATTTCAATATAAATCTATGATAAACACGAAATTAGATTGTCTATACTGTAGGCGAGTTAAATTTCATGAGTCAGAAAATATACGAATATTGTTTGATATGCTTAGCTTAGTCAATTTACAGATACCGACGATACAAATCTTTCCATGAGAATAATGATGAAGTATATCGTATGATATTACTCCCACCATTCCTCAAGATTGTACCCTTCAACATTTAACGGAAACTAAGAAAAATATAATAAGTGCTTCATCGTTTGTCCCGTCTTCCCATTTCATCATTTGTATAGTCAAGAAAAGAATGACAGCAAGCAAATATGAGTTGCTCGGATTATTATAACTTGCTCCAGCTTTCCTGGTAAGATAGACATGTTCACCAGTATGCTGTCGTGTTGGCAACTCATTTACAAATCATTATTTCCAGAAAAATGACGATACCAATATGCACCGATACCTACACACACTATAAAGTTCTTACACAATATCAACATATAGTTGATAAAAATCCATCATATCATGTGTTGCCAATTGCATGGGCAATCGCTAAGGAAGGAGCAGGAGCGTAATTCACTATCATATGTCTACTATGGTAAGCTGAGAAAAGTCTAAAAACTACAAAACTAGTATATAGAAGAAGAATTCTACTTGCAGGAATGGTTATTCTTAGAAAACAGAAATTATGCTCAATATGTTATATGGACATAACTGATATCATCTAACTCAGCAAGATTTTATGCATAAAAATTCAGATAAAATTAATTTGAGTACATTGAAAGCACTAAATTAAATGATGGTGTCGATCGAATCTATTGAAAAGAAAAATGTTTTTAAAAATTTGAATCTATTAATCTACGCATCCAACTGTTTGTTATGGATCTAAGAGTTCTCTCAATAGAACATACGCCTCCTAATACACTTCCTTCTCATTTTTTTCACGAATAGTTTTGGTAGGACGGTTCTATATGCCTACGTGGTACACCCACCTTACACATGGTCATTTGTATCATAATTAATTCCTTCCTCTTTCTTTCTCCTACATTTTTTCAGAACACACACTCCAATGATGAATAAGTCCTTCAAATTCAATTCTTAATCTCTTTATCTCCCTAACATTTTACTAGAGGTAGTGTTTAGTTTTCTAATGACTAAAATTAATTCATTATGCCTCTGTTTGGTGTAGATTGAAATCTACTAAAAATCACAAGTCAAAATCAAAAATTAAATTTAACCACACATTTCATGGCAAAACTTTTCAACCACAAATTTTATCAACTTTTATCAAAATCTACTAAAAATCTGATTATCCACACCAAACATAGGCTATATATTGCACATGACATTTTAGATTATTATTAATCGATGATTGAAAACTCTCTCTCTCTCAAAATGATTTATACTTTTTCACAAAAAATCCATGCATGCATGTCTGGGACTTGATCATATTTTCTTTTCAGAATCATTTGCTTATTTCATTAAAATTTAATCCAACGATTATATAATAGGGTAAAGATATACTTCATTAACTCAATTTACGAAAATTCAAAAGATGTTGAGACTAGGAATAAGACAATATTAGCAGCTAAAATAATAGTAAAATAAGAGCAATATTTATAGCTTCTTTAAGTCGGTCAGTCTATCCACATTTAGTTACGTTCAAAAGGAAGCAAAAATTACTTTTCACATTATCTCATGTCAAATATAATCATAAAAGTTACTATTTTATGAACACAGTTACATTTATGAAAAGTAAGCTCTTATTTGAGCCCTATTCTCAAAAAACTCATTTCTACCCAAACTCATTTTCAACCACAAATTCTCGTAAAGTAATTTTGCAACCCAAAACTTTTCCTTACATTTCAACCATACATTCCCTAAAAAATCATTATTACAAAACTCATTCTCTAATTTTTTTTTTTTTAAATAACTAAATTTTAAGTTCGACCAAACGTCTTAACATGATGTAGTAGATTCCTACTACAATTAATAAATTTCTACTATTCCTACTACAATTATGTTTTATCTTTTCTAAGAATTTATCTTTTCCATTATGCTTATCAGTTTAGTTTTTATATAGTTATGATAGAACTTTTTATCTTTTATTTAACTAGGATTATAGTTTTAATTAGTTTCAATTTCCTAATACTATTAGAAGTAGGGAATAATTTTGTTTATAAATATAGGAGCATTGTATACTTTTCAACAACAATCAATTATTATTCAAAATATACATGACATGATTGTTCAAATATCATTTTTATTCATTACATAATTCTTATTACAAGAATTTTATTATCGTTTCCGCACCAAAATTGGTATCAGAGCAAAGAAATTGCTTAAATCTGATGGCTAAAGATGGTCCTTGTGGCAGTCGAATCGCCAACGATGGACGGAGGCTCGACAAACCCGAACAACAAATTGAGAGGATCGACGAAACCTTTCACAACATCACGCAAATGCTATCTACGTTAAGTCTTGAAAGGAATCATGAGCCCATGAGAAAACAAATTGACAAGAATTTGCAGACTTTAACTGCTATGAATATTAATTGTTTCAACAAGAATACAACACGGCAACATGTGGCTAGAGAATTTCCTCGAGTCCCGGCCAAGTTTGAAAACACACAAGTTATCAAAGATTCTTTCTCCAATAAAACTCGAGGACGAGTTTTTTTCAAGCGGAGGGGATTGTTATAGTACATTCCTACTACAATTAATAATTTCCTAATATTCCTACTACAATTATGTTTTATCTTTTCGAAGAGTTTATCTTTTCAATTATGTTTATCTTTTTAGTTTTCTTGTATAGTTATATCTTTTATTTAATTAGGATTATAATTTTAATTAGTTTCAATTTCCTTATACTATTAGAAGTAGGGAATAATTTTGTCTATAAATATAAGAGCATTTTTCACTTTTTAACAACAATCAATTATTATTCATGATATACATGACATGATTGTTCAAATATCGTTTTTATTTATTACATAAGCGATAATAAAACTATAATCCTAATTAAATAAAAGGTAAAAAGTTCTATCATAACTATACAAAAAAATAAATAAATAAACATAAAGATAAACATAATTGAAAAGATAAATTCTTCGAAAAGATAAAATATAATTGTAGTAGGAATAGTAAGAAATTATTAATTGTAGTAGGAATGTACTACATCATAACGAGTCTAGAAAACTTGGTTAAAAAAAGATTTAGGAGTTTTCTGATTAAAAAAAAAAAAAAAAACAAGGATTAAAAATAAAATATGGTGAAAAGTAAGATAGAGAAATATAGTAAAAATGAAATCCAACACAAAAGACAGGTAGTGCAATTTGAGTGGGTGGTTTAGAAGAAAGTAAGAAAGATAAACAAAGAAAAAATTAATTAATTATGACAAATGACCATGTTTCATCATAAGAGTAGGGTACCAGAGAGGTATATAGGACAAACTTTTATCCATTTTCCACACAGATGAAGAAGCTAGGCTTAATATTGTAGAATTTGTAAAGTTCTAGTTTTCTGGAACCAAAACTGTAATGTTACTAAACATACCACTGCAGTTCATAGGGAAACTAGAAGTAGTAATTATGCAAATATCAAAAATGAAATTGGCTGGTAATAGGAACTTGCAAACATAAAGACTCAAATGTCACAATGCATAGCATTTAGGCAATTATTCAACTTAATTCCTAAAAACAAGAGTCCTCAAAATGGACATTTATAGGATAAAATATGTACATAACAAATATTTATGTTGTAATATGCATGTTTTGCCACTCACCGTACTAAACATGGTTCATTGCGACCTTTGACAGTGGAATCTGGATCATACTTATCTTTTTTTTTAGAAGGCCACAAGGATTTCACGTAACTAATCCCAGCATGTGTGTTCTTGATTTCACAGTACGGCGAATCTGTTTCAATCATCATTCTTTCAACAGGAATCCCCTTTACAACATCCAAATTCTCAGCAGTCTTGAGAGAGCAGCCATTTACGCCTGCATAGGAACGAGGACACAGAAAAATGGGGATTACAGGATAAAAGAAATCATCAAGAACCAAATGAGTTGATAAAATATTTACAGTGGAACAGCTTTAAAAATCAAGAAGTATGAGAAGAAGTGCATTAACCTATAAAAAGATTATTGAATGAAAGTAGTTTATCACGATCTTCAGCACTGCCAGTAAAAGAGTGTGCAACCCCAGAGCAGAACCTGCTGGCAAGGAAAAAAATGTGATAAAATCTGCAGATCCCAACATGGCAGTGGAAAAGAAAAAAACATACTAATAAGTTATAAACAATTCTGAAAACTGGTCAACGGGCCAGCGGGCTTTAACCAAAAATCGGGTCACTTGCATTCCTCTAACATTATCCTACCCAGCCCAGACAAGGATCCAGGTCGCCGGGCGAGTTTTAATAACATTGCGTGTGAAGACGTATAACACATCATGGATAGCAAACATCTTATGGAAATTTTAAAGGAGGAATTATAGTAAATTTTGTCCACATAATCACTGAGAAATGTATGCCTCCTAGTAGGGTGTAATAAAGCATGAAACTCTCGCTAACACAGCGAAATATATCATTCTTTTGCTGCAGGAGCACCACTTCAACATTCTGCCAATATTGAGGAGACAGGTGACATACTTAACTATCTATCAAGCATAAATGGAACTCATTGTCATCACACATAGACAGACAATGAGGTCCATTATAGGGTGGCAAGAGGAACAACTAAGTAACTGCATCAGCCAAACAAGATTAGCATCATTGGTTAAGTCCACACTTTACCTATGATTATTTTGCTCAAGAATGTGACAAAAATCCTCGGCAGCTGCTCGCATGTGGAGAAACATTGGCAGCTTCATGGCCCATGCTAATTCAAACTGCTTCTCAAAGTACCTAATTTTTCACAACATAAAATAGAATTAAGGAAATGAAACAGAATGTCCAGAAAAAGATGTTCAGAAAAGGAAATAAAGAATCAAAATTTCTCAAGAAAACTCCTAGACTTCTTTCATCCAAGGAAAAAAATGCAAAGTAAAAGCAGGAGAAGAAAGTAAAAGAATGATACTTGAAGCAAACACATACTTCTTTTGTATCTCAGACGGGCAAAAGGAAAGCCTGTCATAATCCAATCCACATTCGCCAATTGCCACCACCTTGCTTGAAATTATTTTTCCGTGTTAAGACAAATGACAAATAAACCCAATCAACATGATAGGAAATTTGACTTGTATGCCAAGAAGAATACACATAAAACTAGCAACTGATACAGCAAGGAGTTTATATCCACAAGGTATCTCCAAAGAAAATATGTGATGTGGTATTTCTATGGACGATATTAACTTCTACGCCATTAAATTTAATTTTATCTATGTATTAGCCCAGTGCGAAAAAAAGAAAAATAAAAATAAACATCTATGTATTAGCCCAGTGTGGAAAAAAAATAAAACCTTGTCCTCCCCTGGCTCTGCCTAATATCTATATGCTCATGTGTGCATGCAAACCCACATACACAAGAACACCTATGCAAAAACATGCAGGTGTGTGGGTGTGGGTTTATGTGCATGTATGAAGGAATGATGCACGAGGAACTGAATTAACAATATTCTCAGTTATTAGGGCATATCTTGCAAGGAAGAGTAAAATTTTAACAGTTGTTCTAGTGGGTTTATATCTTGGACAAACTTGTTTGCACCAGTTGCCAGGTATGGAAGGTATTTCAGGTTTCCATAATACTACTACAAAAGGTAATAAATTAAAATATATTTTTTAACACAATAAAGCATACCTTGCCTTTCTCAACTCCGGCTTTAGCCAATGATATAAGAGCCTCAAAATGTTTCTCCGGATCACCACTGTCATCAAATTCCTGATTAAGAGAACAAGAATCAACTATCACAACACCTCCAGGATAAGTATCTCAGGGTTATGTATATAGCAAAACTTGGGCTGGCAATGAACATATTATATTGAGAATAAAAATCTCACTTTGCATCTTGTTGGGTGTACACCAACCGTACAGAAAAGTCTTGCTGCCATAATTAATTGAATCCATGATTAGAGATATCATACAAAAGAGAAGGAAAAAGCTGAAAACAAAAACAGAAGGTAAAACTAAACATATAGTGTAGAATGGTATCGGTGGAGAGACCATCAGTTTCTGCAATAGCAAGAGCTTCCTTTGATTCCTCAAGGGAGCCACCAGTCACCTGGAACAATGAACTTGACCCAAATTACAAATTTTCAGAGAAACAACAGATGGAGTTAAAATGAAAGCCACTTATTATACAGCTTAAAGTTTTGGATTACAGCTCAAATTCATATTATACCATTACCAGATCAAGTTAATTATTAATAGCTCAAGGACCAAAACTGCTTATAAGGTTCAACACAGAATAGAATTAACTGTGCAGCTTTAGTAAAGATAAAAGATTGAGTTTTCAAATTTGTTTCACTTCCCAAATTTACAAAGGGGAACCATAAATAAACAAGATGGAAATGAAGCAATAATTTTTTTATTTTTTTTCCATCTCGTGACCTTATTTCCATTGGATACTCTATATTTTAAGTTTAAACTGCCATTGTTCCTTCATTATAAAATGCTTAATTGATATTTGCGCTTCAGCGTTGGTTATAGTGAAACTTCACAAAATAAGAGAGTATCAATTTTTTTAACCATTACTTCTACATTTCTGAAAAAAGAGGTTTCAAATTTAAAAATAGCGAATAACCAAAAAGACTTAACTTGTAATAGTTTCAATAGTTCCCTTCTTTAAGCAGCAACATAGAACTTCTATATAAAGAAAAGCAACAATAATATATGGGAAAAGAATATCGAAAGCAACATAATAATCAACAACAAACTAAGCCTTATTTCCATCAAATATGGGATCAACCTCATGAGTCTTTCTTCGCCATTGCATTCTACTCGTTCTTAAATCAATTGGGAGCTCTAAAACAATTAAATCCTTAGCAACTGTGGCAGCCCACATTAATTTTGGTCTACCCCTCCCTCGCTTACCAAAAATTTCCATTTGTTCCAAGATCAACTGGAGATCTAAAACAATCAAATCCTTATAAACTGCCAGTGGCCATGTTAATTTTGGTCTTCCTCTACCCTCATTTTACCGAAATTGTGGCACTCTTATAAAACAAGATAAATAATCAGGAAAAAAAACAATAAAGTTCACAAATTTTTTGCTGAAAAGTCTACGGAGAGAAGAATTTACGATAATTCGATCTACACCAGCACTCCAAGCCCTGCTAAGCACCGCTGGAATATCAGCTACATGATATTGCTTCCCATTGTATATTCCTCTAAACATACTATCTGCATTTATTCCGTATTATACATTTAGAAGTATAAACAAATTCAAGAAAACAGAAATCAAAAAATGAAATATAATGCGATTGTTAACTCACCAGTGAAATTAACCGCTATATCTGTTCTTGAGTTATCATATTAGAAAAAAAAAATGAAAAAAGAAAAGATTTAGTGAGTTTTATCAATATTCATTGGAAACTGAAAAATGGTGTTAAATTGCTTGCCTATCATTCGTGTGCTCCCCATGGCTGTGTTAGGGAGAGAAGGGGGGAACTTGTGTGAGAGAGACAACAGAAATTATTAAGATTATTATTATTATTATTATTTTACCCTTTTTCTCCAATCTCTTAATTTGGGCAGCCCTATTTTCATCTATATTTTTTATAAGTACGTTCAACTCTAAGTTCATCTCTAATAAAATTTTAAAAATTTAAAAAAATACTATTTACATACACGTTATATTCCAATTTTGTCCTTACTAAATTCATTCATTTAAATGACATATATCCACATAAATTTTAAGTACATCCCTAACACTAGATTCACACAATCCCTAAAATATAAACTCTTTTAAATAAAATGAATGAAATACTAACAAAGATGATATTAATTTTATTACATTCATGTCTTAGATTTAGGATTTCATCAGTTAGTCATCGTTCAATGTAAACACATTCCCCCATGAAATTATTATTATCATCTCTAAACAGTTAAAAGAAAAAATGTATGCGTTAACATTGGAACACAAGAATTCATGGCAGTAGCAAAATTTCCCATGAAAATCTAAAAAAGAAATCTTTAGGTCACCGAAAAAGTATTACCGTTGGAGTTAATATATATCATTGAACATTAAATTAATATATATTATTCAGCTAACCATTTTAACAGTATTTACTAGAAAATTTATTATTCTTATTCATAAAACTCAATTCATCAAAGGTAAACCACCATGAATCAACATCCAAATTAGGAGGAGGTTTGTCTCTGGATAAAGTATACCGAGTAACATTTGGAACTCATCGTTTTTGGACGATGATTGGTTTGCTTCAATCATCTCTTCATGGTATGCTTAAATCCAAAATTACAAGTAGAAAAAATTATATAAATTTTTAGAGAAAAATGTTTTTACATGCCTAAATTTCTTATTTTACAATTAGACAAAAATGCTTCACATTAATAACAAGTAGAAAACATCACATGCTAGAAATAATTTGTAAATAATATATCAATGTGAATTAAAATTAGGCTTCAAATCTTTGTGGATCAACATAACATGATTAGGTAATCGAATAGTAGTGAACAAATCAAGTAATTGGTCAATCAATAATAGTAGTGTTATCAGATCAAAAAATAGTAGTAGTAGTTAATTGTTCTTATGGTTTATTCAAATCAATTACTCTGATATAGCTACACCTTCTTCTATCAAGGACCTAAAAAATTGCATCCTAGCATGAGAAGGTGTAGCCCAACCTTCTGCACATGAATGATTGTACTTGTACCAATAACAAGCAATAGGTGGCATTGGTCCCTTAGTATGCCAATTTACATGTACACAATCACATAGAAAAACATAAATAGAAATTTTATTTAGTTAATTAAAAAGTTAATTAATTTGATGAATATTTACCGAGATAAAATGGCAGTCATTGACAAATCCAATTGCAACAATCTTATGAGATGCGATTGCAAGTGGTTCATCCCAAAATGGAAGAAATGTAAGATATTGTTGGCTCAAGTGAACAAGAATAATTTTATATCTTGAAGCAATAACATGACCCATATTAGGCATAGTCATCCAATACTCACGACTCGCTGAACCATCAAAATGAGAAAGTGAATGAATCAACTCATAGATCATATCATCATTTCCATAGAGTCTAGAGTAATCATCAAAATGAGATTCAAGCTCCTTTATTAGGTCTTTTCTGACCAAAGACCAATTCTCTTCACCTATACCTAGAATATTAGCCACGGCCTGAAAATCACAATTGCCATCTGCGGCCACATCTTGCACATCAACTATGTAAGGTCTCAAACGAATAGGAAACAGATCAAAATGAATCAAAATAAGCCATGGATTTTGATCCACGAGCTCAATACACCTTTTGTTTTTGTCGAATTGGATGCTGGCTTGATAACATGGGTTGACTTAAATGTGTAATGGAACTAATCAATTGTTGTAACGTATTGTCTTGTCCAGATAGAACTAACTCAAAATACGATCGGTCTCGACGAGTAGATACATCTATTTTTTAAGATGGACGACCCTTTGTCTTAGTTTGGACTTGTGGCTCAACTAATGATATAGAACTCGGAGTAGCAATCTCTTTCAATTTTTGCAGGATTTCCGCCTTCACATGATCATTATTATCTTGATAACGTTTTTCAATCATTTCAAATAATGATGCACAATTAATTTCGAATGTGTTACCTTTATCAAGAGGAACTAGATTAAACTTCTTCCAGTGAGAGTGTACTCTTGATAAAGGAATGGGTTGAGATTCTTTCTTATTCTCTGAAATCTCATGGGCACACGGTAATTCATGTGTTTGTCGTATAACACATCCACAAGTTACCTTGTCAGTTCCTATGTCATCAGCTCGCTTGGACTCTTGAAATATCATATTCATTGCAATTCTTGATGTAAATCCCCTAAGCTTTTTAAACAAGGTAGGTTTAAAATATGTTGGACAGTACCCAAACTCTTTTCAAACGATGCTTTAATATCTGTATGTTGTAGCTCCAATAATGAATGAATTCTTGTCCATGATATGTCAAAATTACATTGGGAAAAACCTAAATGCCTTTTAAGTTTTGCATGTGCAGATTCAGCCCTACCATTAAAAATAAATCAGAATCACTATACATTAGCACACTTAATAATGCAAATAGCAATTTAATAATGCCAATAGAAATTTACCTATTAGTTGTCGTGTTTCCAAAGTGCATGTGTAGATTTATCCAATCTGCCACAAACTTCTCTTTATATTGAAGAAGCCATGAATTCATTACATAATCAATTGCTTGTGGAAATTGTTGAAAATTGGATTCTAAGAGATTTAGATTTTGTTTGTACTCTTCTATGGATGTTGAAAGCACTTACAAATTCCACATATGCATAAAGGCATCTCATTGGTCCTTGTGATTGTCAAAATATTTTTTTGTTTTTGCCAACACATTCTTTGAAATGTGTCATTTACATAAAATATTAGTAGATGTTGGAAATATTTTTTCAATGGCCTTCAGTAACAATAACACTAGGCATTATTATATCGTTCATTAAACTCTTCAATCTCCCTAAAGCCCATGCGTAGTTTTCCTCACATTCTTTTCCCAAGTATGCAAAAGCGATCGAAAATGTTAAATCAATAGAAGTGACACCTACTATTTCCAACAACGGTAGGCGATACCTATTTATCTTATACGTGCAATCCATAATTATCACACGAGGAAAAGCCTGCAACAAATCTACTGAATATGGATGTGCCCAGAATAAATCTTGAACTAAATTCATCTCCATAGAGATGCAGTGCCACTCTATGTACTTGTTCTCAACAAGTCTATTCATTAGTTGTTGCATTTGTGTCCTTCCAGCTTGTTCTTTGAGTCTGAACTTCTGACGTGCATTGTAGATGTGCCTCATTGTGCTAACATTTGTGTCATCATTTTGTTTCAATGTATATAATATTTCCTTTAGTCTTACATGATTCTTCGACATGTCTACTAAAATTGAAGTCTCTTTCTCAGTTAATCTCCCAGCATATGAATGTCCTTCAAGGTTTTGGGCAATGTCATGATTATGTCTCCCACATTTCACTTTCAATATCCAATAATCACCATTTATCAATTTTCTTCCATTCAATGCGAATGGGCATCCACATTTTTTTGTTCCGTTAGTTCTTCGTCTCTTTCGTTTTTCATTTTCTTTGTTAGTATACCTACACCTATATGAACCATGTCTTTCACATGCAAAATCAATTCTTGGTTTTCTCCCAACTTGGCCGAAGTTGGACTTTTTTATAACAACAATCATGTTATGTCTCTTACCAGTAGTTTTAATCCAATCAATCAAAGCATCTTTACTTGTAAATATCTGTTTATCATCAAATATTCATATATAAATATATGATCATGTTAAAGAAAATAAAATTATTACGTACCATGTTTGTCGTAAATATATCCGTATAATCAACAAATAACTCATTCTGGACATCATAATTATGGGTTGATGTATCCTACATTAAAATTATAGTTTTAAATAATGTCATTAAAATAAATTTAACAATAACTAATATAAAAAATACAACATCGGATAAGTATGCGAAATAGCAGATGAATTGGAACTTTTCTAAATACTTGTGAAAAAACTCATTAATGTATTAATGTGTTAGGAAAAAATCAAACAACAAAACACGATAAAAATGTAATCCTTACTTTTTCAAATTTCTCTTCATATATTGCTATGTCTATATATTTTTGCTCTAACGGCGTCTCTTCCATTGTTCACTAAATTTCTGTGTATTGAAATTCTGAGTATTAGAATGCTTCGAACAACAAAGGCTAAAGAAAAAAGAAGAAGAAAGTTCAACGAAGCAAGTTTAATTTTACCAACTTTGTATGCCGAAGATATTGAACACATGTACTCTGAAAACTTTAGCTAATATTTGAAGGCATAATATATATGCAAAATTTGATTTTTTAATTGCCCGACTGATAAATAATATCTAACGAGAAGGGAAAAATTAGAAAAAGAAGAGGATTCAAAAACTACGAAAATTGTTCAAAAACTAAAAAAAGTTAGCAAGATGTGATTTTACCTGTGCTTTTAGCTGCTCATTCTTCTTGAGAATGGAATCATAATTGGACAAAAGGGACTTGAAGTGGATTTGAGTTGATCATGATCTCTTTCAAGCTATTTGTTCTTCCACTATGCACGGCGATTCTGGAACCACACTGCCTCCTGTCGGGACTCGGGACTACAAACCCAAATTTTTGGCCAAATGAGTTTTGCACTTTGGTTCTAGCTTGTTCTCTGCGTCAAAGCTCTTCTCAAGCAAGTTCACCAATAAATCAAACAAAAAGAGTGGAGTAAATACTTAATACAAGAAAATAGGATAATTTTTCATAGGACTTCAAAATCAAATTGTAATCATCTGGATAATCTACAATCCGTGGACTTGAATTCCTGATTAGAATTATATTGAGATAATAGGGTAGTGATCAAATTACTTGAGTATTGCCTAGTTTTCCCTAATCATATTCATGTAGTTTTTCTTAATCTATTAGGATTCTAGTTAAACACAAATTCTAAGATGATTTAATGAAAGTAAAAATTAGTGGATCAATTTAGAGTTTTGTATTTTTATTTTAAGTGGAAGTTGTGATTTCAAGAGATCTGGTCTTGACGCAACTACTCTAAGAACCAACCACTCTTTTGAAATATTAGTTTGTAATAAAGAGCCACAATGTAGAAGGTTAGAGAGAGATGCTATCAAACTCTAGAGAGAGAAACACTCACTAGAGTTGCCTCATGCACTGTGAGCTCATTCTTCCTTGTTTGAATTTACCTTCTTTGGTATTTTCGAATTTGATTTGCAGATTTTATTAAAGTCTGTTCAGTTTCAGCATAGTTTGATTTTGAGGATTTCAAATTCTTGGAGCCTCAATTTCGACCAGAATATGGCAGGTTTCTTGGATGCTTTGAAACTTTCACTTTGGTCATTTGCATAGATACATCATCCGGCCAGAAAATTCAGAGCTTTACTCATCCTTTTATTTAGATTTTCAAGCTTTCTTCCTCTCATTAGAAGACTTGATAACAGCAGCAAATTTTGTTGCATGGTTTATGCAGTTTTTCTGCATAGTTTTGCCCAGATTCTTGGAGCTTCTCTGGGTATCTTCAAAGATTCTTAGTGTAATTTGAACATTGCACTGGGATTCTTTATGATATTTTTCCAAATTCAGTTTTGGGTGTGGCTTGAACTGTTACTCCATATCGGTTTCGATCAGTATTCAAGGCAATTTTCTGGTCAATGTGGCCTCGTGTGTAGTTCCCTCCAATCTCAAATTGATCTAAGCTATTTTGAGGCATGGCTGTTGGTTTCTTTGGCATTCGGAATATACTTGCAGGTGTTTTGGAAGCTTGTTTTGCGGTTTGATTAGTTCAATTCGTGACTGCTTTCATTCCTTGGCTGGTTGGTTCATTGGTTGCTGGCCAGTTTCAGTCTAGCTCTTTGTTGATCAGGCAGATTCTAGCTAACTTTGGGTGGTTTCGTCCAACTCAATTGCTTTCAGTCTAGATAGTCTTCAGAGATTCAGATTTGGTTCTTGAAGTGTTTGAGGATCTGGTGTTCATCTTCATATTTTGAAAGTTGTATGTATTTGTGGTGATATTATTCAAATTGTAAATTTGAATTGGTATTGTCGTCTTACTGTCAACTGAGGATCACATGTTCTGCTAGCTGGATTTTCAGCTTTCAAAGTTAAGTAATTAATATATCTTGCCCTTTACGTAAGTTTAGTACGTTAGGACCTTGTCTTTGATTTCTTTGTTCTTTTAGGATACTTATCCCCTACTTTCTGGGATTCTGTAGTCTATGCTTGCCAGTCTTTCCCCTGGTGTGAGTTTTAGCTTTGCTAACACGAGTGGAATCACACCATTTAATTCATTACGTGATTACTGAATGAAGTCTTGGATCCTTCGTATCAATAATTTGAAATCATGAAAGTTTTTGGGCAGTCCCATTTCATCGTAAAATATAGTAAAATTTTATTTTTAAAAGTGGATGTACTTATAAAAAGCGTAGATATATATCTATTACCCTTCATTATTACTTATGTCTATTTAAATAAATTTATATATAATTTAAAATATAGTAAAATTTTATTTTTAAAAGTGGATGTACTTATAAAAAGCGTGGATGAAAATAGGGCTACCCCTTATTATTATTATTATTATTATTATTATTATTATTATTATTATTATTATTATTATTATTATACCCTTTTCCTTCTATCTCTTAATTAGGAGAAAAACTTCCACTTTTTAAGTCTTGACTCTTTAGTAGGCCTCACCTGATCGGGTGGCATAGGGTGAGGGTTGGCCATCCGATAAGGTTGTGTCTTTCCATTCGACCTTCTCAACAAAGTTTTTCTTCTTAATTAGGAACGGAATCACCCAATCTTTCATATAGCATAGAATCAACTCTGATATATCTAAAGTGATGTTCTACCCCCTCAATCTATTGAAGGTGAATTTGGTTATTCAAGTGACGGAAATTGTTACCTTAAACGTTCAAGTTGCAACATTCACCTGACTTAAATTTGAAGGGTAGAAATGTCGAAATATTTTATTTTTCATCGAACATTAAAGTCGTGCTACTGTTAAAGGTTGGAGAGTTTGAAAGCTTGGGAAGTTCAACCTAATTTTTTCATGGAAAAATACGGTGGTTCCCGAACTAATTGAAATAGAAATGTTTTTCTCAATCGAAGTGAAGAAAGTTAATTTATTCTTGATTAACGTCAAGAAATGATTGTACCCTTATTTGAGCCCCATTTTGAAGGAGAAAATGAATTTTTAAATAGTGTATTGATGAGAAATGTGTAGTTAAAAAATAAAAAAAAAAAGTTTTTTATTTGCGTATAATATTATTTTATTGAAAAATATATGGTTGAAATGGTGTCAAATCACTGTTGAAGAATATATTTTGGTGGGGAAACGGGGCTCAAACAAGGGCTATAAAAATAATTGTTATGGTGATTCCTAGTCTTGGAGTGGAGTCAAGTACATGAAGTTTACCTTAATTTATATATTTAAAAAAATAGTATGAGCATAATTAGGAATTGTGTTAGTTTAATTAAGAAGGATAACACTAGCCTTTTTATTAGCAAAATATGAGAAAATAAAAAATAGCGTCTAGAAAATAGTAATAAAAAACATTTTTGGAAAAAAATCATAACTAAGATGTTGAGTGTCACCTATTTCAAAACTAAGAATAAAAGTTTCAAATTTTAAAAATCAAATATTTATTAAATTTTAATTTATGATTTAATTAATTAATTATATATTTTATTAATTAGGTATATTAAGGTCACAAATCTACACAATTTGATCATAAATTAACGATTAAGTAAGTCACATATTGTTATTCGATCATAGATCAAAATTTCTATATGTCACAAATTATTTTACAATCACAATTCAAAAAATTTATAGGTCACAATTTGTTCATCGGTCACAAATTAAAATTTTATAAGTCACAAATTATTTATCTGTCACAAATCATAAATATTATAAGTCATAACTTATTATACAGTCACATATTAACAATTTTTAGGACACGCATTATTTTTTTATCACAATTTATCTTTTTCATCGATCAAACATTGTTTATTGGTCACAGTCAACCAAATAATTTGTAACCGCCATCAACACTTGCAACCACCATCTCGCCACTATCTCCAGTAGCATCAGCACCATCGTCGTAGCCAAAACCACCGCCGCCACCACCTCATGACGTTATCACCGCTACCACCATCGTACTGCCTACACCACAACTATTTGAAACTACCACCACCAATGACGCCAAATCCACCACCACGCCATCTTACTAGTGCCAAAGTCTACGTGCACCGCCGCCAACAAAAAATACCCCAAAAACCAATTAAAGCCAATTGCCTCCGCCAACGTTGCCTCCAACACATTTCATAAATAAAATTTAATTAATATCGCCAGCACCGCCAGCACCGCCACCACCAACACTACCCCCAGCTACAAACACCGCTACAATATGCAAATCACCACCACCACACGAGCCAGCACTACTGCAACTCCAACCATAGCCGTACCACCATCGCACAACCAGTGATGCACTACTATCATCCCACGACCACCACTGCCTTATCACCCATCGTACACGAACCACCATCATTGCAGCACATACAACAACACACATCACCACTGCACAAAATTGTACCACCACAGATTTTATCCTTTTTTCCTGTGTCATGCACAAATCATCACTGCATAGCATCATCGCCCCTCACACAGCTCCCCGAGCACAATGCCACTGCAGCAAACCACCCAATGTGGCTACGCTTGAGGTGCTGCTGCAGCAAAACACTCCAGTAGATCGTATTGAGGCGGTGATGCAATCAAACCACCAAACAAAACAAAACTCCAGCAGATTAGATCGAGGTTGTGCTGTAATCAAACTACTGAACAAAATAAAAACTCTAGCAAATCGGGTCCACAGCGGTGTTGTTGCATTGACGCTCAAGCGGCGAGCGACGTTTGCTAGTATGAGCGTTGGTGTTGTGTCGATAACGGCATCGATGTGAATGAAATGTAGGGGGGAGAGAGAGAGAACGGCATCGATGTCAATGAAATGTAGGGGGGAGAGAGAGAGAGCGAGGGGGGAAATTTAAGGTTAAGGGGAGGGATGGGTGAATGGAGATTGGTATATAAATTAATTTAATTTTATATTGTTATTTTTATTATCTGATTTTTGAATAAATAAACTTTGCATCTCATTTTTTAAGTTGGATCTTAAAAAATATGGATGGTGTAATTTTCACGACTTTTTTGCTCAAAGTGTAAAGAACTTTCGGGCCCCCAGCTGAGTTCAGTCTCCACCAGCCCGGTCAAGCTTATCAGACCCAAACCACTAACACATTATGGGGCTTTTTGATAGTCCAATACTTGAAAGGGCCCAACCCTTTTTCTATAGCTGTATATTATAAGTCAATATTAAAAGAAAAATTAATTTAAAATATTACCCATTATATCACTTATTATTACATATTAAACATGCCTTGGCTAAATGGGTTTAAAAATTGTTTCTAAATAATCAAACAGGAGCTAATGTGTCATAGCCTTTGCTCATATTTAAAAACTGTTTATAAATGATCAAATCATTTTTCCACATGTTTCAAAGGATTCAAATGTCCTATTAATTTATTTATTGTTTATTTGTATCTATTTATAATTTAAATTCTTATAAACAATTATCATTCCAAAAAAATAAAAAAATGTTTTTCCTCAAACGCGTTTTGCATCTGCACAAGTAAAAGTACACGTATATATTTGTTGAATGAGAATGTTGAATTTTGAGCTTTTTCCTTGATAGTGCCATTCTTGAACTTTTTCCTTGATACTTCCATTACTTCTTTTCATACAGGAATTGTGACTTTTGACAAGTCTTTTCTTACCCATTAATCAAACTTGATTAATTCCTAGCCATCATCCATATAATTAAACCTCATACCATTTATCATTTCAACTTTCCATTTCATTTTTTCATCTTCTTTTTCTCTCAAATCTTAGCATATACCCACAACTTTTTCTTGAGCTCCTCAATTCGTATATAGCGTGATTGTGCTCGACTAAAGAAAAGAAGTCGGTTCTTGTTTATTGTATCATTCGATCTTATTCATTGTTGTGTACCAGATTATCCCAAAAATGAATGATCTCTTATCATCATCGTTTCCCGGTGGCCAAGATCAATCCCACTCCATTCAGATGACTGATTTAGGCGGAGTCGATCTCGAAACGTTTTTCAAAGATGTGGATTCTATAAAAGTCGAGCTCGATGCCCTGGAAGCGCTCTACGACCAGCTCCAGGCGGCACACGAGCAAAGCAAAACGGTACACAATGCCAAGGCAGTTAAAAACCTTCGAGCGAAAATGGATAATGATGTTTCGACATCATTAAAAAAAGCAAAAGCGATTAAGGCAGGATTGCAGGCACTGGACAAGGCCAATGATGATAATAGGAGAATTCCAGGTTGTGGCCCTGGAAGTTCTTCGGACAGGACGAGAACTTCTGTAGTCAATGGCCTGAGGAAAAAATTGCAGGATATAATGAACAGGTTCAAGAATTTGAGGGAAAGAATGGCTTCCGAGTACCGGGAGACGGTGCAAAGAAGGTATGATCGAACTAACTCGTCTAAAAATTAAGCTTTCAAAGAGGGGACAATTGCATTTTTTAAAATTATAATCAACACGTTTTTTATTATTTAATAAAATTCCGAAATTGCATAAAAATTTCTACACATGAATGATAATAAAACTTGAACTGAGGGCTTTGTCTACTCCGATATTGTCTACTCCGATATGCTATTGAACTATCTCATCTAAAAGTTTAAAGCGTCTAGAGAGTCGATAATGTATATTTACTTAAATTATGTTTGACAGGTACTACACGGTAACTGGTGAAAATCCCGACGAGAAAATTCTTGACAACCTAATCGAGACAGGTGAGAGCGAGACTTTTTTGCAGAAGGCCATACAGGAGCAAGGAAGAGGACAGGTAATGGACACCATTATGGAAATCCAGGAAAGGCACGATGCTGTAAGAGAAATGGAAAAGAATCTCAAGGAACTGCACCAAGTTTTCTTGGACATGGCTGTTCTGGTGGAGAGCCAAGGGGAACAATTGGATGATATTGAAAGCCAAGTTGGAAGGGCAAATTCTTTTGTTAGAGGGGGGACTCAGCAGCTTCAAGTGGCAAGAAAACATCAGAAGAATACTAGGAAATGGACCTGTTTTGCGATTATTTTGTTGTTGATTATTAGTCTCATTATTGTCCTGTCTATCCGGCCCTGGAAGTAGATGATTAGTCGATGGTTGAATACAGCGTTAGTCATTGAATTTAGGGTTTTGGTTTCGATTTCGTTTCTTTTTTTTTTCGAAAATGGTTGCCCAACTTGATATTTTGTTTCGTACTAATCACTTCATCCAAAAATCTTTGAAACAAACATGAAGTTGGCAACTATTTTGAAACGAAAAAAGATATGGCATTTGAAATCGAACCCTGAATTCGATGGCTGAAACAGTTTTTAACTCGACTAGTCAAAACAAATGCTTGAATATAGTTCATCCAGAAAATTCATATTTTTGATTGTTTTGATTTTCTTGAACCTGAGTGAGGTCACCCCTCTTGTCCCACCCCGAAGCCCATCATGTTGACATGAGAGTAAAATTTGGGATACTTCATTATCAGAGGGAGTTGGAGCCACTTTGTAATTGATTTGTTATAGTGTGTGTGTGTGTATATATATTATTATTTTGAAGTTGATTGAACTTGAATTGTTCTTTTCTTGAAAGTATTTTGGGCTTTAGAGTTCATTTCTTTAATTTCCTTTTAACTGAATTTTGTACATGGTATTTTCTTGATGGGGTCATCATATTTTCTATAATCATCTGATCATAAGTAATTTATTATAAATCCAAAAAGTATTTAAATACCTTTTTTAACATGTTCAAATACCATTCCAAAGTGTGTTGAATTCGTGAAGCCTCATACAGTTTTCTCTACGGCAAAAAAATTTTAAGTGCCACGGGCATACTTTAAAAAAAATAGCTCATGTATTAGGCCGCTCTAATATTTTCTTCTTATTTAAATGATATCAGGGCGAGCCCTCATTCCATGTAATATACTAGAGAGGGGGTCCCCAGGAGCATAGCCCAGTGGTGCAAAGGATAGGAGTGAGGTTATCTCACACCATTAATATTTTCTTATTTTCATTTTTTTCTATTTCACGTTATTTTGGTGTCGATAAAAAATCGATAAAAATATAGGTCAAAATTAATAATTAATTTTAACCACATATTTCATGCTATTCATAATTTTTATAAACTTTTGAATGACATATCAACTATTATCAAAATTTATTTGAAAAAGTAATATTTTGCAAAATCAAACAGGCACTTATGATTTGATGAAATTATCATTCCTATCCTAACACTTAGTGTCATTAAAATATTTAAAAAATTATTAACTTGTATCCTTAACAGGTCATTTGACATTCTAGTTTTTCTTAAGAATATCGAGTATACCAAACTTATTAAAACAAGAACCCCACTTGGCGTACAAGGGTGTCTTCATAAGGACTTTACATGTCACAAACAATGGATGGGGTGGGTAGGTTAATTTTTTTTTCATTTTTTATTCAAGTTTTGCTAGGGGTGGTGTACAGCATTCGGTACGCCAAATTATGTATCGCTAACTTTATCCTTTTTATTCAGATGGAGGCCACCTTCATGAGTTATTTGGTCGGTTTCACAGAACCTGACTTCTGCACAGGAGGAAAATTCCTTAAATCAAACAAAAGTAAATGATACCATTTAAATGAAGAATAAACAACCTAAAAATCAATTATAAGAACTAGCCGGCACCAAGTGAAACCATGAGCCAAATTTGAATACGATTAAATTAAAGATAATGAAAGAGAGACCTTTCAAGATTCTAGAATTCTTTTTAAATTATTTAAATAATTTCTGGTCATACACGTTTCTGCACAAACAAACAAATATACTTATTCTCCAACGAAAGCTTTACCCATTCAGGCAATGAGGAGTAAAAATAAATCAATTTGCCCAATCCGTCAAAATAGGCTCTCGAGCTAGCATGAACCATGCAAGGCATCACATCAGGGGCGGACCCAGACGACTAGGGTTAGGAGGTCAAAAATAAAATTTATAGGGTATCTTCTAATAAATAAAAAAAACTAAGAAAAAAAAAGGCTAAGCAAAAAAAAAAAAAATTCCTCAAAATCTAGAGGGTCAATTGCCCCTGCAAACCCCGCCAGGTCGGCCCCTGATCACATACGATACAAGACATGGGTTCAAGTTGAGATCACCCCCATATTCTAATTTTATCAACTTTTTAGGCACATATTTTAACAACTTTTATGAAATTCTATTAAAAAAAATCTTATTTATTGACAAGGGATAAATTATATTACGACGTATATCATTAAAAATCAACCGACTCTGCAACTAAACCCGATCACGGCCGTACACACCTCTACATGGGTGTGAAGCGATAATCTAGCAAACAAAGTTTGGAAAATTTTCTCAAGCTTTTATATTACAATATATTTTCTATTATATTAAGAAAAAATGTATGACTCCGCCACTCAGCTCAACCACAACCTTACTGTAACGCCCCAACTCGCAAGGATCGAAACGTCGCAAGATTAATTGTACTTTTAGCCGTAAACTTTAAAAAAAATAGCTAAATTTTTAGAAGAAATTATAAAGATTTAATTTAAGAATTTTTTTTTAAAAGAACAATAAATGGCAACATAACTCAATACAAAAGAAACTAATTCCTAATGTCTTCAGGTGACATCCATGCATAAATACATTTTTGTTACGTGAAATTCTAGGCAAGAATTTAAAAATAAATGTTGTTGTTTGACTTCCCATTTTTGCACAGTAAGTTTTAAAGTAAACTCGTTTACATAGTGATCTAGGTCGAAACTTTAAGAGAAAGTAGGGAACTTCTCATAATATAACATATCCAAAATTTAACTTTCGTTGGCGACATATTAGACGTTAAAATATTATTCAAAACCTCGCAGCGACCGATTTGGGAAGTAGCCCAGCACAGCATCATTAAGGTGTCATATAAAATTTCATAGATATTGAATTGACATGATTTTGAGTTTATTCAGTAGCAATCCATGAGGCTATTAAATCCCACTGGTTTTGTCCAAAAATCCCAAGTAACGATTGAGTTACGAATTTTTAAGTTCAATAGCAGAAACTGAAATTTTCAGAAAACGGTAACATTAAATAGTTGACATTTTTTTTTTTTTTGTAGACGGTGTTTCGTAAGTAAATTCTAGATCACATCTATATAGTTTTAAACATAACCTATTCATAAGAAAATGTTCGTAGAAATAGTTTCATATACGATGTCCATAAAAAAAGTAATTAAAAGGAAACACAAATATTTCATAATCAATTTAAAGTTGTTAATTCATCGACTTTTCCATGTCAAATTACATCTTCAACCACCATCACCGCGCCCCGACAAAAGAACAAAATCAACATGTAAGAAGGGATTTAACCCATGAGTTTGAAACTCAATAGATATCATCGGTGCATTTCTAATCAAATTAGAAAATTCGAACCATGGATTCATACCGTCGTACGTAGATAAATTTTCGGCAAAATCCGATATCTATAGCATTATCATAACACGTAGAGTCGGAGAATAATCATTTAAACTATAGTAACGCCGAAGCACCGTAGCCGGATGTCATTCAACTTTTAACGAAAAATCCAAATTTGAAAACGAAATAACACTTGCACCTCAACCTACATTCGTTTGATGCTTTTGAATCGATGAAGTTGGTTGGTGAATGTTGTTTCCCGATAGAATCCAAAGCTTTTCCTTTCTTTTTTTGAAAATCGTTTCCGTGATCAAAGTTACACCTCTTTTTTTTCTTTTTTTCTTTTTTTTTTTTTTTGAAACTTGTATAAAAAGATATGTATGAAATGGAATAGGAATAATTTGAAGAAAATGAAAAGTCTACACTTTATTTGTCTTTAAAAAAAACAATGGAATCACCTAAGAAATTGAGAGTAAAGTGCAATTACATTTGTATTAACTATTGGGTTGTTTTATATCACATATAATATAAATTAAAGGAATGTGAATAGCTTGAAGAAGACGGAAAATCAATCCCAATTTCAAGAAAAAAAACGTTGGCAGCATTTAACAATCAAAGTTACACTTTATGCCTTTTCATTTCCACTCAATTTAAAAGAACTTAAATGCATTTTAAAACAAAGAGTTTAAGTTGCATAACTTGTGATAACGTGTGTGTATATTTTTGGGATTTAAATGACTTGTCTATTCCAACTAATTAAATTAATTGTTTGACTATTCAATTTAAAGTTATTTTTACCGTATAGTTGTTATGTGTGTGTATATAATAATATATATTTGTCATTTTAAAAATAACATGTATGCAAATTAATTTTATATTTTTTTTTCTATACATAAAATAAATTTTCACCGTCCGGTCCAATCTTTGGGAAAAAACATTAAATTATATCGTTCAATTTCATGAAATAATTTTTAAAAACATGTATGGTGGCTAAACTTGGGTTACGTGTTGAACCACCATAATATTGTAAATAAATTCATTTTAAAACATATTGGACTAACATTGAGTTTTCATTTCTTATGTGGGTCGAGCATGAGGTTCATTTATATGCTAGGCTCCTGATGCTAGATCGTCGCATTAAAATATGAGCCTAATTTCATTTTATTTTTCTAGCTTCTACACTTACATTCCCCTACATAAGTGCAAAGAGAAGCAAGAGAATAAGATTTGATATTTCTTCTCGAGCTTTTGCCCCCGTTTGGCCCCCATTAAATTTTATTCCATTATATTTCATTTTCTCTTTCTTATTTTCAATCACACAATTTTCTATAAAATAATATTACACTTAATCGAAAACTTTTCTTTCTTTTTCAACCATTCATTTTTTTTAAAAAACACTATTCCACTCACTTTTATTTTCATAAAATGGGGCCAGTCAGGAGCAAAGAAGAGATTTGAGAGAGATGAAATAGGAAAAAACAAGAAACAAGTTGGCAAAGACAAGACAAAGTTTTGGTCCAAATATATTTCTAAAATAATATAAAACGATGACCCTTGACCTTGAGCATTCTAGAAATATAAGACTGACCCAGAGGAAAATAGAGGAAAAGAAGGAAGAAGTATAGATTTTGGACCGCCTACAGAACTGATCAACGCAGAGTTATAAACAATACAATGTCAGCACAAGTCTCCAAGCCAAAATTTAAGCAATAATATTTCAATAAATGATAAAAAATTTATTTTCCACCGTACCTCCAAATTTAATACAAACGTACATAACAATCAGTTTCTTCGAACGAAAGAAACAAAAACAATAGCAACAATCAGTACGATGGAAATTTCCCACAAATTTATCTCCATTCATACACTTCAGTTAATTCCATGGTAGGGGAAAAACTTCTATCAGCCTCTCAGTCTTCAATTAAATGAATTGTCACTGTTCTAAATATTTGTGATCCTATAAAACTACTAGAATCATCGAGATTTTTACAAGCATAAAGTATAGAATTACTACAAAACAAACAACTTACATTAGCCAAAAACTTAATCTTTTTGCAGCACAGTAATGTAGTGAGGATACCCCTGACATGTACCTGATGATGGTTCCGATTCATTCAGATTGTCTCGTTTATTGTTGGAGGATAGAAGATTCCAATGCAATAAATAGTTGGACAAATCATAAGTCCCAGGAGTAAATACACAAATTTGGAGAGGAATTTCAGCAGACGACAAGGATTTAAGTTCGAACCGAGTAGAACTTGCTCCAGACCAAATGAACGGTGAAACACTCTCAGGTGATAGTGACTTCACGACTCGAGTTCCCGGAACATCTGATGTGACTTTAATTTCAGTCAGAGGAGATAAATCATGCCATCCCACTTCATTTCCTGAAACTGCAGTAGGACTGCTTACTGAGTTGATGGTAGTTGTAGAATCAGTAGTGTTAATGCTAACTGACACATCATCTTCTGAAGAGTTGTGGACAGTCAAGCTCAAATTTATTTCGCAAAAAGTAGTTGAAAAGTCGTGTTTTACTGTCCGAGGGCTCTCCATTAGCCACCATATTGGGCTTGTACTTGCAATGCTGCATTAAGTACACAAGTAAAATAAAAGATAATAAGTACCCAATTATCAGCAATAAAAGATTAGATGAACTACAAGTTCGTCATGGAGGACCAAAAACATGGAAACATACCTGCAATGACACGTGTGATGAGAAAACACTTTAATGGAGTTTGGCAGAACGGTGTTGCTATCACTTCGCATCTGAGATATCAAGATGAAGTCGACTGTATTCTGATGTTCCTTAAATGTAAGAAAAGAGATCCAAGAAAGAGTAATAAGATAACAGTGCAATAGATTTAGAGAGAGAGAGAGAACAGTGCAATATATCTGCATTTTTGTCTCGATCCCATATGTTAATAAAACCTCGGCTAGTTATTTTCATTCTTATAAAACAGAATGACACACACTAATCAAAAAATATCAATCAAACATGGCTAACCATCTTCATACTAATTTTAAGGTTAAATTCACCATTTGTTGAGCTGTTTATGGTGTTCAAACAAAATAAACATTCACTTGTAACCTTTAACAAGGCATATTAAAATGGCAAGAGATAGCATACCTGATCGGACATTTCTTCATGCAATCTTTCATAATGATGGAACAAGGTTATAGGTGAGCTTGATATATCAAGAAATCCTCCCTTATGACCATGCCCCAATCTAACATCAGCTTTTTCTGATGTAGTAGATACCTCATTTTTAGCAGTTAATCGTGCCCTGCAGTTCTGAAGGCAAAAGTTCCAAATCAAAAAAACCAAGCAATACGTATCATCGATTGGCTGAAATGTTGAAGCAAACCTTGAGCTTGAAAAAGCATGAAAGAACTTGACCAGCCATTAAAAATTCCAAAGGAATAGCATCTATAGGTTCAAGCAAAGCAATTTCCCACTCATCTCCAACAGAAGATAATTGGTGGACCTGGAAACTCTCTGAACTGGTCTTGTTGACAACATCCATCCGCACAAGAAACTCTTGAAATCTCGAAGTGCAAGGACTAATTTTGAATGACACATGTAATGAGGGAAGTACCTATAAAACATTATATAATTTGATAAAATTGTGAAATCAAGACCAGAATGACCTAGGTGATAACTTCAAAATTGTTATCATCGTTAACTGATTTTTTAAAAGATAGTCAGAATTCAGATATAAATTAATAAGCATCTGTCCAAGTAAAGTCAATTTAAGCCCCTGTTTGGTTCCCATTATTTCTTCATTAAAATGAAAAATATGACCGTTATCCATCACATCAAGCAACCAAATTTGAATTTCTATCTCTTGTGTGGGGCCATAACGACTATATTTTTTATTCTCATTCTTCCAAAAATGAAAAACAAACGGGGGCTAAGTAGCAAAACATTATATTCACTGCTTCATATTTTTTGTTAACAACTAAACATGAATCTTGTGATATGCGACAAATCATTGAAATCTAGGGAACTGATATGCAGTTGCAGGTAGTTAATTAGTGAATACCATAAAAAAACCAATGACTCATCATCCCATTCAAAACATACCTCCAAACTATAATGCATGCGTAATGTGCGGTATCTTATCAGAGCCGATAAATCTTCCACCTCATAGTATATCGTTACATACAACGAAATGCTTCCAGAAGCAGCTGCCCTAAACCAAAGGGGCCAAATGAATGCTTTTTCCCCAGAAATTGATGCATTCTGGAAAACAGAATCAGAGTAAGTAAAACAAGGAAACCCAGTCACTTCATATTTCAAATTTCTAATTGTGAAGATAGGCAGGGCATAGTAACCTCAGGGAACTGAAAAGTGTTGCTAGATGATTTGGAGGTCTCCACTTGTACACTACTGTGTGTCGAATTTGGCAGCTTTTCAAGGCAAGCAGGAAATTCCATATTCATGACATCCTGATCCGCAGCATTAAGAAATCTTGGATTGTTGACCTTCATCTTCAAATTCTGCCAAATGTGAACATAGTCCATATAGTGAATAAGACTATTATTTTCTCATCCAATCTTGGATTGCATCATGACATGAACAAAATTACCCCCATAGTATTTATGTTAAACTGTCAATTCCTTCCCCAAATTATTGCTCAAGTGAAAGGTTAGGACAGAAATTTGCAAATATCATACCCTTGATAAAGAAAAAGGGTTGGATATGGGGAACCGTTTCTCTGGGAAAAGTTGTAAACAAAAATAGAAGCAAGGAGATAAAAATAGAGTACAATATATCCTCAATGTTTAAATAAAATTAAACTAAGAAAAGAAATCACTCATATAATTCCCTCCAGCTAGGTTATAAATCCATTAAAGTTTGACCATGACACAACCAGATGCGTTGGCCAAAATGGAAGGGACAAATAGGACTCTTTCCCATAAGCAGCTAGATGCCAGTTTGCGATCCTTAATTCCATAAGCAGCTAGATGCAGGTTTGCGATCCTTAAATTTTCCTGCATCTCTTCTCATCCAATTAAATCAAGTAACTGCCACCATGTCACTTCACAAGATCTACTGTCCAGCCTACCTCCAAAGCCCAATATTTCATAAGCAGAAACTCAGTCAAAGATGCAGCAAGAATATATGTTCCCCAAATTGGAAGGCAACTCCCCTTTTTTAATATACAAAATGGAATTGGTAAATCCTAAAATTTTAGCATGATCATAACCTATAGCATAAAGTGATTTCCTAGATTTGTTTCAAATTCTATAGTTTTGTATTCCTTAGAAAAGAAAATAACCTAAGAGAAGATACAGCTGTCTGAAGTCTTTGGAGAACAAATAATTTTATTATTTTACACTAATATAATTAGAACACAGATAATATTCATGAAACACTGGTAATGGTACTAATCTGTAAAGGAGGATGTCCGTACAATCCAGTAGTAGTATAATACTATTTTTAAGTTTTTGGAGCAGTTATCAACTTCGACTTGAAAACATCACAAGTATATTGATTGCTGACCATGTAAACAGGATCTCAACACTTCCCATTATGTTTAAAGGGCATCAGGAGATCAATGCCCATGACTTATCCTATTGAATTGATATAAAAGCATCACCAATGCATGGTAGTGAGATACCACAACACTTCCATAAGAAAATATTTCATGTTATAAAAAGGTTTCTAGGCTAAATCAGACCACGAAGTATTCACACTGCTAGAGGAAGTAGATGACTAATAGATAATTTAAGTACTTCTAGCAGAAGATAATGTACACCCATAAGCATCCATTCCAACAATATAGATATCCCGATAACATTCAGCAGTCTACCATTTGTTTACAATATTTGATCGACTTGAAAATTGGCACATAAAACTGGACAAATATCCAACAATCAGATTGGATTGACGCATACGATAAGCTCGTGGAGGAGTCTTCTGATAGGCCACCGGTTAAATATACTTATTCTAGAAGAAACAAGAAGAGTGGAGGAGTGAGGGCAGTAACCAATTCTGTTAGTGTAGAAGGAAGGGGTGAGTAAATTCTGTTACGAAGACTATAAATAAGGGCTGAATAAAAGTGTTAGGCATGAGAAAATTAAGTGAGGAAAACATAGTGAGGAGAGTCACAGCCCTCTCGAACGGCTGCTTATGTTCGTCCCTTTCATTTCTTATAATTCAGTTAACTTCAAATTAATACAGTTTCCCTTTTCACTGCTACTTGCCTTCTTAATACAGCTGAACCCTATCATCTTCTCATGCCCAGATGGTTTTAGTAGTGTTTGATATAGTTGAGAAAAATAGAAGACACGAGGATCCTAGCATAATAGCTCTTATACCAGCCATGACGGATAACTAGATTTGTACCCCACATGCTTTTACGAGAATAGGCAGAAAAAACCTAATGTAAGGAATAACCATACCTTGACAGAAGTTTCTGATGGATTCCTCAACTCTAAAGTAAGAAGGCGCAGATCTCCAGCATAAACTGTTATAGGTAGGTGATGGATAACACCCTCTAGCCTGGGTAGACTCTGAACACAGAGCAAGTTGTAGGCCGAAACATAATAAACAATAGTGTCAGAGATATGTCAAGTTCAGTCGAGTTTACACAAGAAAAACACACCATGTTCCATAGGAAAGTGAACAGTGATACCTTTATTACCAAGAATTTCAGATTATCTTTCATAGACTTCTTTGACTTTCTTTTTCCTTTCGCAACTCTCTTTCTCATCATGTCTGAATCAAAATTGTAAACTCCAACCACCAAACCTGAGAGTTTCCACCTCACACCAACTATTTTTAGGATACCTTCTATTTTGGGAGTAACTGTTAACTGCACCTGAAAATTGTTAAAGGAAAAGTGAGGTTAAAGAGGATAGTTTGGTACCATAAAATATTGCAAGTGCTGCCAAAAATTTCATCTGGAGTGCCTTATTCTTAAGGCACACAAAGTATGTATAAAACTGAGAAGATAGATGCAATAATAATGTCACAGGCCAAATTAAGAATGAAAATTGACATGCAACCAGATATTTAGAGAAAAAAATGCAAATGTTAAATCGTCAACTCCTATTCCCCAACAACCAAGAAAACATAGTAGATATTATCTGGGAGTGTGATTGTGCTTTAGTAAATGTTATAGGGGCAGTGCGGGGTTAGGCCGAGAGATTTACTTGTTTGGACTCATACTAGTTCAAAAGGCGAGATTCATTGAAAAATAATGCAATTTGAATTTTTCTCCTTTCAACATGGTATAGTTCTTTATTATCCTTAAAAGCTCGCTTCAATAAAAATATATCAACTTATCTTTCTTTGATATCCACAAACATAAAATTTCAACATATAAATAATATTTGAAAAGTCATGATCAAATTAATATTTGAAATGTCAGCTGTAAATTTAATTGCTAGTGGTTGATAAAGTGTCAGCAAGATTCCAGAACATAACAAATGGTTGATGGACTTAATTGAACAAGGAATCACGATGTTGGGTAATACAGCCATCTTTGATGTACAGTATAGCTTAGTTCAAGGGTGCCACCTTCTCAACATGCTTCAAATTAGACATTTATCATGAATTGAATAGGATCTAAAATTAAAATCCAATACTGTCAAAAGTTATCCAGCAACATATAAAAATACCAAAAAAAAATATATTAAAAAATCAAAGGTAATTCCAGACACCTTTGATCTAAAATAACACATTAAAACAAGACAATTTTGGATCAACTTGCAGTCACTCGGCTATAAGAAGCAAGAATAATAATTTCTCATCAAAGTCCACTAGAATGCACCGTTCAACTTGAAAGTTCAATATCTGCGGACAAATATATCTAAAAGAAACTAGTAAATTTGGCCTACATTTTCAAACTAAAACTCACCACAGTCGTTTCACCTCCTTCCAAGGTAACTTCAATTTCTGATAAATTAAATGATGTGTCTACACTGAAGTCCCTGTATCATAAATCCGAAGTTATTTGCAATTATAATTTGAAAAGTCCAGGTATCAGCAAACGAAATAAAAATACAAGGCAGTGCAACCTAGAAGAATCACTAATGCACCTGTTAACGGATAATTTACTCGATTCTTCATCATTGTGATGACTAATAATTGAGCTAGTTGCATCTACATCATGGAAAACAAAGATCACCAAAGTTGCACTCGAAATAGATATCAATTTAACATTTGAAATGAATGTCAAAATATCCATACAGGATAGCTGAAATATGTATGAACTCGAGCTACAGGAGAAAGGATGGATTTGATTTGTAAACTTATAAACAATGAACATAAATGGGCATTGTATGGGTTTACCAGAATCCTTTTCAGCAGAACTGGCATAATGCTCGCATATTAGGGAAATGCTCGAGATGGAAATAGGAATTTGAAGAGGGTTTCTAAAACCAACGTCCACCTTGATTGCCTCTGCAAGAAGCATGGGAAAAAAAAAAATATCTTCAAGTTAACTAAGAATACAAATAACAATAGAAAAAAGATCACAATTGCCAATCCCCAATATTCTGGAAAGGGGATATAGCTATAAAAACACACAATTGAAGAATTGATTTTGGTGCAATACACAAAATAGATTACTCCAGTGAAATATTGCCACCTTGCCGTTCTATACATACCACAAACATTCACTAGCCATCTATATATAATATATGTGAACTCGCTGCCTCTAAAACATAGGATCAGTGATTGATGGGGCATAAGAGAGTCTGCTTTCATGGCTGACCCAGTAAGAGGAATGGTAAAATAGGAATCTATTACATCTCTAATCCCATTAATGATGGGGCAAGTAAATTTGTGTACACATGGGCCATATGGCTTGTAATGCCCCAAAAATTTTTAAAGAATAAAATTTATTTATTCTGTATGCTATATATTTATATTTTGAAATTGAGGGACTAAAGTGAAATATGTTTTAAATTTTTATATTTTTGGGTCAAATAATTAGATTTTGATAAAGCAAGTTTTAGTATATCAATATTTGGCTCTTTTTATAGCTCGTAATTATTTTGAAGACTTCAACATGAGAAAAAGTTATTTTGAATTAAACTACATCAAGTTAAGTCTGATTAAAAGAATAATAGGTTATAAAGTTGGTAAGGGCTTGCAATATTAATTAATTAAAATTCTTTTCCTCTTTGAATTCCTACCACCACATGATTGATATGAAACCAATAATATAGTACAATTCAATTCACTTTTTGAAACCAAGTATAAGTTGGCCAAGTGTCTTATTTTTAATGAAATGATTGTACCAGGAGAACCAGTAGTAGAACATACTACTGACTCTCCATTTGAAACCAATTCTTATCCAAATCCCTTGTATTACACAAATGGCCCGTCCATTCCAAGAGTGAAGGACTCGGGCCAAAACCGATTCAGGGGAGCACAAGGTTACCATAGTCACAATGTACTTCAGCATCTACGCAGCTGTGGGACTCAGGTTGCAATTTTCAATTTTAGTTGCATACAAACTCAATTGAGAATTTCAACTATAAATACTGCAAGAATTCCCATTATTTCACCACAAAAAATAAAGAGAGTCACGGTAGAGATAGGAAAAGAAAAGGTTTTCACATGCATTATTTTATAGTCCATTACAACTTTTCAAATCTGTCAAGGTAGTATACTTGTGTGCAAGTGATTTGTTTCCTTATGCACTTTTGTATTCAATTAAATATGCATTAATTGCTAGTGGACCTTCGGATTCTTTAAAAGGGATATGAAATCCTTCGAAAATTTAAGAAAGCCTAAAATCGGTGTGTCGTTTGGTCACCGATATACTCCATAAGAGGAGTGGTATGAAGTACTTATTTATTGTTATATATTTGTTTATGAAAATTGCACGTATGTTACTGAGTATTTTTAAATACACTTTTACTATAAATTTTACAAGTACAGGTCGATTGAATCTATGGCGGGATGGTGATGCAAGCTGCCAATAAGATCCAAAAACGAAAAGTATTAAATTTTTTTGATTTTGTCTTTAAATTCATTAGTTAGTTGAATTTATTTCAAAGTCATGTTATTTAATTAGTTGGTTGAATATTTTTATTTTTTTTAAAGATACAATTTTCCATGTTTAGTTCAAATCTATGGATATTCAATATTTTATTTTTAAAGGAATTTATTTTTATGGTTCTGTATTTAAAAGAAACAAAAGCGAGTTTTTCGTGACACTTCAAAGACACTCAAAATTTGGGGTGTTACATAGCTATGCCAGGTGCACTGAATTAAAAGGTCCTCTGACCATCAAATGTAAAAAGGGCCTATTCTAAAGCATCTTTCCTTTTTTGAAATCCACCATAAATATGAAGATTTCTTTTCCGGATTCAAAAAGTTAATTATCATTGAGTCTGTCTTCCTGTACATAGAATTTTGAAGATATGCAATATTTCTAAAATTGTGCATTCCACACATCCAAAACTACCATACCAAGTCCCTTGTACTGTTTTGCCTTGCCAATCATGTGGACCAATTTTAACACGTAAGCACATAAAGATTGATTCTAAACTACTTTGGGCTATTTGGCCTTCTCAAAAAGCATGGCATATTTGACTATTCCCATTATTTAATTAGCAAAATGAACAACCGTGAAGATAATAAACTACACCTAACTAATCCAGTATTAAATGACTCAGATGCAATTCATATATTTCATTATCATCTTCCATTAGTTATAAAAAGTAAAAATGCTTTAGTAGACAGCAACCCATTGAGCCTGGAACGGAGAAGGTACGGCTGAAACACATGAAAATGCATCCAACTTTGAAACTAGAAAATAATATCACCTTCATACCTCCAGCAACACACACACTTGATTCTCTATACTTTTTGGGTAAAATCTTTGGTTGCTCCAGCCAGTTAGTCTTCATAACAGAGAGTGATGGAACCATGTCCTCCTCCAAAGAAGACCACAAGTTTTCTCTAACACCGGCCTGAAGTTTAGGAAGTGGTGAAAGGAAATATGAATATATAGCTATTTACAGAAGTGCAAACAAGGTAACGTTGGGATCTATGCCTTGCAGCCTAATTGTAAAATTCGATATTTATGAAATGCTATTGTTCTGCCTATCTCTATAAATATAATAAAAAGGTAATCACCCAACCATAAGTCAGAAAAGAAAAACCCTAATCAACTTACAGCTGAAGATGAAGCATAAGTTCGATGATCTTCAAAAACAACTCGGAATGAAGAAATGTTGATAATGGGCAGCTGAAGTCTTGACACCTCGAATGTTTTCCCTGTTTTCTACACAATTCAAATGAACTAAGTCAAAAACAGATACCACTGGTGTTTGGGCAGCATTACTGCAATGCAAATGTGAACTAGAAACATAAAACTGCATCTAAATCTTGAGTACACCAGAAAAAAAGAAAAGGCATGTTAAAATTCATCAGCAAAAAAGCTACATTGACGTATCAATAATGCTTCTCAGATTCTACTGCCATCATAATGGAAACCAAAGATGCACATGCACACAAGGTTGTTCATCCAAATAAAAAACTCGGTAGTAAAACACCTGGATAATGTTCAATCATATCCTCATATTCGAAGCTTAGTGATTTCAAGAAAAGAAGATGATAATATTTCAATTCTACTCTGAGATAATTGCTATTAGTTACCCTTTTCCAGATCATGAGGAAAAAAGGCTACAGTTGGGGGGAAAAGGAAAGGAACGTGATAAAGAAAAGAAAACAAACTTGGCATCAGCAACAACCTGAACAATTTGAAAAAATTCCCTAAGAAACAACTCCTGAGTCATCTTTGATTGATGACCACAGGCCAGGACTTCTAACATATGATTAATAGCCTCGTCAGAAATTCCAAGAATTGCATACCACCTGAATCAATTGTAAGATTAGTACCGCATAATTCCATATTGATGCTGTCAAAACCAATAATTTTCTCCCAATACCAAATTGTCCAGTTTTCTGAAACTCACTTTCCAATATGAAAATGAATGTGATCCCTGATGCGGTTCCATGCAGTGCCATTGAAGACAGAAAGAGCACCTCTATATGTTCTAATTGCATGTTTTATCTGATAAAAGGCAACATAAAACATTCTTGAGGTTAAATCGTTTACATGCATGTATAATTTTCATACTCACACAATAACCAACCTGATCACATTTCTTGTAGAGATCACCAGAAAGAACAAGATGAAACCCATACTTGCGTAACATGGGTGGCGATGAAAACAAATAACAGTAAGATGCTTGCTCAAGCATCACAGCCGAATGCAGGGGTTCCTAACAAGGATAAATTTCAGAGCAGAATATGATGATTTCCCATCAGTACTGTTGTCAAATTTATGGGCATTACCTCACCAGGGATACGGAAATAAACACCAGCAGCATCTTTATACTGATCCCTAGCCTTTAACATTTCTCCCCACCAAAGACCACACCGTGTAGCATTTTGCAAACCAGATGATCCAATTTTCTGAAAGTAAATTGATTTAACAATCAACAAGTCAATGAATTTACAGCCAAATGGAAACACATTATAGAAACATAATTTTTCCAAACCCGGTTTTGAGTAGTATTAATATTACCAAAGTCTTCAATGTTCAATGAATTTTGTTAGTTGTACAACCGGGGTTGACAACCTCCTCACAGGAGGGGAGTCCACGATTTTTTTATTCATCGTGGGCTCCCCTCCCATGTGTGTGGTTATCGACTGGAGTTGTCAACCCCGAACCCCGACTGTACATATAGCATGGCCCATGTTCCATAAGAGGTCAAGCAAAATTTTAAACTCGGATTTGGCAAGAATCTCATTTTTTGGTAGTGCAAAGGGGGAATTGGCCCAAAAATTGAATTGGGTCAAGACGCTGTAGGGCTGCCAGCGGCTGACTCAAGTGCCCCCCCGAACCGCCTATTACACAGCTCACTAACTCTACCTGGGGTGGGGGTACCTATTATTCGTCGGCGGTCTGGCACACCCCTACTATACAGGGCCGCCCCCCAACTCACTTAAACTTAAAGGATGCTAATTAATTTCAAAGGAAGTTTTTTCTAAATCTTAATCTAGAGAGAGGCTAGGCTGGAAAAAGGATCAAGCACCTAAACGTGTGACTAACTGAGATTATAAAGCAGTAATAACATTCAACAGCAGTATCTTGTCACCTAATACAAGTGAGACAGCTTGCCAATTATCTCTCAAATGTTTAATGGTTAGTAGCTTATTTCTTATTCCCATACCCAATTTTTCTCCAAAACTTTTCTCTCAAAGAAGAGCACCAGGCAAGCATAATACATCCTGTCAATGATGTCTAACTTTGTTGGATTTTATGCACAATATTAAAGAGATAAAAAACGAAAATCAACACAAGAATTTTACGTGGTTCGGCGATGTGCCTACGTCCACGAGAGTAAAGTGGAGATTTCTTTATTCAGTTGTGAAAAATAGGGTTACAACATATTATTTATACTAACCCTAACCTGAGCCCATATAAAATTTTAAGGCCCGTACAGAAAATACCCCTATACCGTACCGCACCCCCAGCCCATTCAGCGTCCCTAACAACTAAACAGTGAATTAAACCCGCGCAAGGCCGATGCCGTCGCTCCGTTCCTTTCCATTCAATGCGCTCCGCTCCGCGCCGACATCAGCCCATTTGATCCAGGGCTTGTGTTCCACTCTATATGAGCCACATGCACAATCTTCACCTTGGCGAATATTCACCCCTTAGGAGAAAAAACATAACCCGGAAAAAACCACACCATCTAGGACCAATAGATTGGGACACATCCTCTCTAACAGCTAGAGATGTTAATCAAGTTCAAGCAATGCTTGAACCTATCCATTGTGATCGGCTTTGTCATCATGTCTGCTGCGTTCTCTGAGGTATGCACCTTCTCTAACAACAACCCTCCTGAAGTAACCAACTCTCTTATCTTATGAAATCTCACATCAATGTGCTTGATTCTTGCATGATAAATCTGATTCTTAGCTAGGAAGAAGGCGCTCTGACTATCACAGTACAGCTTCATTCCATCTTGCTTGATCCCAAGTTCCCTGACAAGCCCTTTCAACCACAATAATTCCTTGACTGCCTCAGTTGTCGCCATGTACTCTGCTTCAGTTGTAGATAATGCCACAAGTGATTGTATCATTGACCTCCAACATATGGGCCCACCTGTGAGTGTGAAAACATAACCTGTATGGGACCTTCTGTCATCCAAGTCCCCTGCATAATCTGCATCTACATATCCTTGAACTGAAATATCACCATGTTGTCTCTCAAACATGATCCCGCACTCCATTGTACCTCTCAAGTACTTGAAAATCCACTTTACAGCTCTCCAATGCTCTCTACCAGGATTAGCCATATACTCACTAACAACACTGACTGCATGTGCTAAATCTGGTCTGGTACACACCATTGCATACATCAAACATCCAACTGCGCTGGCATAAGGTATCTTTGACATCTCTGCAACATCTTCTTCACTCTTTGGGCATTGATTATTAGACAATCTGAAGTGATTTGCAAGTGCTGTGGTGCTAAACCTCTCAAACACTTTCTTCAAATAGCTTTTCTGAGACACCCATAATTTCCTGGCTTTCCTATCTCTGTTGATCTCCATGCCAAGAATTTTCTTAGCCGGTCCCAAGTCTTTCATATCAAACTTACTGCTCAACAAAGATTTCAATTTGTCTACCTCATCCATATTCTTGGCAGCAATTAACATGTCGTCCACATACAATATCAAGAAAATATATGAGTTATCCTCAAGAACTCTGTAGTATACCCAACAATCATACTCACAACGACTGTAGCCAATTTGAATCATATGAGAGTCGAACTTCTTGTACCATTGTCGTGGAGACTGCTTAAGCCCGTATAAAGACTTCTTCAGTTTACACACAAGATTCTCTGTTCCTGGTTCCAAAAACCCTTCTGGCTGCTCCATGAAAATCTGTTCCTCCAAATCACCATGAAGGAAAGCAGTCTTCACATCTAGCTGCTCTAACTCCAAATCAAAATTAGCCACCATTGCCAAAACAATCCAGATGGAAGTGTGTCTGACGACTGGAGAGAAAATTTCATCATAATCTACTCCCTTCCTCTGTGAGTATCCCTTTGCTACTAATCGAGCCTTGTATCTTTCTCCTTCCTTTTCTAACATTGCTTCTTTCTTTCTATACACCCACTTACACCCTATCTGTTTCTTCCCCTCTGGACCTCCACCAAATCTCAAGTATCATTTTTATGCAATGACTCAATTTCCTCCGTCATAGCCTCTATTCATTTACCTTTCTCCTGACTACCAATGGCATCCTGAAAAGTTATAGGATCGCTATTGCTGGTAATGAGTGCATAAGAAACCGAATCCTCAAATCCATACTTTGCTGGTGGTTTGGTAGTGCGACGTAGTCTATCTAAGGCAACACTATGATACTGCTCCACCTCTAACCCAGAACTATCTGCTCCCTGAGCATTAATTTCTGTGTTAACATTGTCTAGCTCTACTTGCACCACTTGGCTTTTACCTCTGCCCTCGTCTGAATTGAGCTTCTCTTTATCTGTAGAAGCTTTAAGCATGAATGCTTCATCAAATACTGCATCCCTACTTATCACCATCTTCCTTGCCTCTGGATCCCAAAACTTGTATCCCTTTACACCTTTAACATAGCCCAGAAAAATGCATTTTCTTGATTTCGGATCAAGTTTGGATCGCTGATCACTAGATACATGTACATACGCCGGACAACCAAATACTCTCAATTCAGAATAATCAACTTCATTACCTGTCCAAACTTCCTCTGCAACTTTCCCATCTAGTGCTGCTCGTGGTGATCTGTTTATGACATAACATGCCATGTTTACTGCCTCTGCCCAAAAACTCTTTGAGAGCCCTGAGTTCAGCCTCAAACATCTTGCCCGTTCTGCAATTGTTCTGTTCACCCTTTCCGCAACACCATTCTGTTGCGGTGTCTTGCGAACTGTATAGTGCCGCTGAATACCATGTTCCTCACAAAATCTCAGAAACTGTGAATCTGTATACTCTGTACCGTTATCTGTCCTCAGATACTTAACTTTTCTGCCCATCTGGTTCTCTATTTCTGCTTTCCATAATTTGAACTTGGCAAAGGTTTCAGACTTGTGCTTCATGAAATATACCCAAACTTTTCTAAAGAAGTCATCAATGAAAGTAATAAAGTACTGAATCCACCTTTGGACAACTCCCTCACTGGTCCCCAAACATCTGAGTGCATATAATCAAGAATTCCCTCTGTCTTGTGCTTTCCCATCTTGAACTGTACTCTGGACTATTTTCCAAGTACACAGAACTTGCAGAAATTCAACTTGCATGATTATACCCCCTTCAACAAATTTCTCTTGTGAAGCTCAACCATGCCACGTTCTCCTATATGCCCCAGTCGCATATGCCATAGAAGAGTGTCATCTGACTCTGATTCTGCTGTAACAACTCCACCTACAACTGTATCCCCGAGTAGTTTGTAGATATTTCCTACTAATTTCTAACCCTTCATCACAATCATAGCCCATTTCTTCACTGTTAGAGCCCCACACTCTGACTTATAAGAGTAACCGTTTGTGTCTAAAGTGCCTAAAGAAATTAGATTCTTTTTCAACTCAGGTACATGCCTAACATTTTCCAAGGTCCTTATCACACCATCGAACATTTTAAATTTTATGGACCCCATTCCAATGACCTTACATGATGCATCATTACCCATCAGAACAGATCCAAAATTACCAGAACGATATGAATGAAACCAATCCCGATGAGGACACATGTGATATGAACAGGCTGAATCAAGTACCCAACAGTCATTTAATTTTATAGAATTACCTGCAGAGACTGATAACATGTCTCCATCTCCAGAATCCGAGTCTCCTTCTGCAACACTAGCTGAGTTTGAGGACCCATCACCTTTCCTTTCATCACTCTACTTCTTATTAGGACAGTCTCTCTTAAAGTGGCCCATCTGATGACATTTGTAGCACTTGATGTTTTTCTTATTTTGATTCCTAGATTTTGATCTCGTGTTCCCTCTAAAAGAAACACCCTGTCCTTCCTTCTCCCACGAACCTGGTAGCCCTTTACGATCAACCCTTTACCCTGTGAAGTTTCGCCAGTCCGCAGTTTCCGCTGGTTGTAGGCTAACAGGGCTGATGTAACTTCCTCCAATTCGAGAGTCTCTTTACCCCATGTCAACGTGGTCACCAGATGGTCGTACGAAGGAGGCAGTGAGCACAACAAAATCATTGCCTTGTCTTCATCATCAAACTTGATTTCAAGTCGCAATAGATCGCTGATGATCTGATTGAACACATTGATATGTTGAATCAGATCCGTACCCTCCAACATCTTCAGCCCATACAGCCGCTGCTTTAGATGCAGCTTGTTCGTGAGAGACTTTGACATATAACGACTCTCCAATTTCTCCCAAACCTCCGCCGGAGACTCAACGTCCATGACGTGATACATGATTTCGTCCGCCAAACAAAGCCGAATTGTACCAACTGCTCGCGCCTCGAGCTCTTCCCAATCGACATCTGACGTACCCTCTGGTTTCTTCCCAAATAGTGCATTCATCATCCCTTGTTGTGCCAACAAATCCTTCACCCTTCGCTGCCATAATCCGAAGTTCCCAGATCCGTCAAACTTCATCACATCAAATTTTGCAATCGAAGAACTCACCATCTGAACCTGGCTCTGATACCAGTTGTTGGATTTTATGCGCAATATTAAAGAGATAAAAAGCGGAAATCAACACAAGAATTTTACGTGGTTCGGCGTTGTGCCTACGTCCACGAGAGCGAAGCGGAGATTTCTTTATTCAGTTGTGAAAAATAGGGTTACAACATATTATTTATACCAACCCTAGCCTGAGCCCATATAAAATTTTAAGGCCCGTACAGAAAATACCCCTGTAACGTACCGCGGGGGCAACACCCCCAGCCCATTCAGCGTCCCTAAAAACTAGACAGTGAATTAAACCCGCGCAAGGCCGATGCCGTCGCTCCGTTCCGTTCCGTTCAATGTGCTCCGCTCCACACCGGTATCGGCCCATTTGATCCACGGACTATGTTCCACTCTATATGAGCCACATACACAACAAACTTGGACTTGATTCTTGTTTTATGTAGTAAGCAAACCACTGAGTTTGATTCTAGTAATATCCTCTCTGAGATATTGAAGAAGAGACTCAAAAAGTTCAACACCAAATCTTGTTTTTATTAACTTGACAAGGATTTCTTAGTTCTGGGTCCAAATTGAAATTTTAAACCACTTGCAACTTCTAGTCCTCATTATCTTGCTTGCTTATTTACCAAGTAGTATTCAAATATTCATCCTGTCTCAATTTTTTCACAACTCAATTCGACTCAACTTTGCAAAGTTAAATCCACATTACTTTTTATGGCTACAGTTAAATCCACATTATTTTTTATGGCTACAGAAATCCTGTTGTCTATAGGTATGATTAAATCCATATTTGAGCCACATATTATAACTGCACTTCCAAAAGTTACACAAACCTCCCGACATTTGTTTCCCATAACATGCTCTCCCTTTAACAGTTTTCAAGGCCTTTGTCAGAAGAGTAGCGATGATGATGTCCGTCCATGGGTTTTCCTTTCATCTTGTCACATTTCAGACACAAACGTAGATGGTTCATTAAGCTCCTAAGATATACTAATTCTTTGATTCCAGTTAGAAGGATCTTGAATTAAGAAACACGTCGTGGAAGCTAAAAAGGAATCTTGAATAATTGCAGTAGTCAGATTCGACAATATCTTTTCTGGCATAAGGAGGCAAAATAAGAATTACAATTGATGTTAAACAAATATAAATAATGTTTTCTCAGATTATATATTTTCACTTTGGGTGTAGGAGGACGAAATGATGCTAGACTTTAGAAACATAAAACATAAAGTATTCAAATCTTGCAAGTTAGGATTACACGTACCATGTAAGTACTAAATGCATTTTCCATGCAGTACTCAGCATCCTTTCTTGACTGATCCAACATGAAGTATGTCAATCCCATCATCTCCTGGAAAACCATACAATTATAAATAAAATGCACTGAAAGAAGAAATTTACAAGGTTTAAGGCTAAAGCGTACAGTCACTTCCAATAGATAAAAATCACAAGAGAGGGAAGAAATATTTCTTTTTGACACCTCCTGAAATAAAGAAATTGAGATATCCCCGGACATGCTATTAAGACAGCTCTCACCCATAATAAACCAATGAAACATGTTTCTGGAAAGTAAATCTAAACAGTGTTCATTAATACACGATTTAATTAAGAAACATATTCAGGAGAATGGTTTTATAGAACAGGTGAAAGTAAATACTTTATTTTACATGTCACAGCGAATTTCTACCATTTCTAGAAGCATTAAGAATAAATGAGATAATACCTCAATGGAGTATCTTTAGACTTCTAAAGTTACTCATCATGTGGAATATCTTTGACTATTTTAAATTGTTAATGGGGAAGAAGTCATCTGGATTGCTAAAAAAGTTGATAAAGATTTGATATAATTGTTTTTACTCTATTATTTGAGTCTTCATTCTTTTTATTTATTAGTCATGGTTCATAACATGAAGACTATTTATAGACTCAATAACATGAAGACTATTTAAATAGACCTACAACTATAAGTCTTTAACCAGATCTATTTCTTATAACATTACATAAATCAACTATATCTGAATTTTTATGTGCACCCTTACAATCCAAATTACTATAAGTCTACAACAACATATTCACGTTTCGAGAAAAACCAAAAAGCGAAAGTTGAACCATGTGATGGAATAAGAATTGAATTGAAATGTAAAGTAGCTTTGTTCAGACATGTTCTATATAACTATATCCCACATGTTAATAAATGCACTACCCAAGATAGTATACTCATGATTCAGTATAATTAATCAACTTGGAACAGATAAGTAAAAACCTCATGGATCTAACTAGAAAATGCATCAGATATTTTTTAAAGTAGGCCATAAATGATGAGAATAACTACGTTACTTGTCGTATTGGACGATCTACATAAGCATCACCTAATTTCTGCTTTTATTAGTTTCTCTTGAACAAGAAAGCAAGACAGACATCTCTTTCATATGATTACATATTTCCAGCTAAAGCCAATTTGCTCTTATAATCAAACAAATACCATACACTGTGAGACAAAAGCAACAGTTTCTAGAAATTCAATTGATTTAACACCTTTAAATCATCAACCATGCACCACCAGACCAAGTAATCAACAAAAAGAAGACAGTTAAGCAGAAAGCCTCTAAATGTACATGGAAAGGTGGGAAGGTGGGGGAGAGATGGTATAGTAGTATTTTCAACCAAAGCAATCCAGCACATGGCTCATATAAAACAATATACGCAAGACCGGTCCAAGGGGGGAAAAAGAAAAAGAAGCACCTGAACACCAGCATAGTGTTTCCATGCTTTATCAAGCTTGTAATCCGTAGAAATTAATCGATAGTTTGACAATGCAAGCTCATAATCTCGTAACATGAAAGCATAGTCACCCAAAACTCTTATTTGAGATTCAATGGAGCTAAAAGTGTACCTTCAGCATAGGTTATACAAATCAAGTTAGCTGGCAAAAAGAAAAAATGGAAAGAACAAATTCAGTATGAAAACCAAGTCTACAATCGTACGTCGGTCCACTGGGATAGTCTGGTCCATCTTCTTTCCCTTTTCTCCACCATAAGTTTTTTAATTGGTTTCTAAAACCTTTCCTTGTCGCAGAAACCTGGTGAAAATAGATATTAGAGTGCTCTTCTGAGGGGGCACACATGCAGGAATGAAGTTCGAGCAAGTAGAAGAAAAGAAGAGACGTGAATAATAATTCGAAACTACCAACTTTTGAAGTGCAAGCTCATTCTAAATGGATTAGAAGTTTGAATAGAACCTGCTGATTCAGTATGCGAATTTTTAGCTCCATGTGAGGAATGATGTGTTTAGATGACAGATCTTGCATTGCATTCCTCAACTGTACAATTTAAGAAATTTGCTGATATTTGTCATTTCAAAGATAAATTGCTAAGCAAAATTATGGGCCTACAATCCTCAAAGTGTCCTCGCAAGCAAGCTATTAATGCCAGAAAGAAATTACCTCATCTATATCATCTACATTAAGGAAGCAATCCTGCTGCTGGTCATGAGAAGCAGTATCTTTCTGTAGCAAGCAAAAGTTGAAAGTGAAAAGTGGAAGGAGGCCCAGACAAATATCAGTTTTTGAAAATTGGCTTACATAGAATGCCCAAGGGTTTTCTTGATGTTCTCCAAACCCATCTGCAGAAGAGTTTATACATATTAAACGACAATCATTCACACCAAATGTACTCCTCATTTCTGTCAAGATCCTATGGGCCCTGCAGAACAAACACCAACATCAGATGCATCCATGGCTTCAAAGTTGTCTTTATCAACTGACTCTGGACATAATAGATGCCAATACTCTTGCATTTTTAGCTATACACATAGTATTACTGTAACTACAACTAGTCAGCATTATTACAATGCACATTATCAAGAAAGGAAAAGCTTTGATTGCCAACAAACGTATAAATGAGATGCTTAAAATTCCTTTCACTTAGCAGCACAAACAAGGAGTGTGAAACCATGCCCTGTTTGGCTTAGCTTAAAAATTGGATTAAAATCTGAGTCAACGTCAACGTCAACAATTTATTATAACTACACATTCCATGGGACCCACAACTTTTCAACCACATATTCCATTAATATTTACCAAAATCCACTAAAAATCTAACTTTTATCTAACTTCTCATTTCTGCTCATTTAAATGATTCTGACGCTTCCACGGTCCATGGATATGCAAGACAACTTGAACCCACAGAAGCCCCATCAAAATCAAGTATTCAGTGCTGCTTCCCATAGCAGAAATCTACTTCACATGAAAATGGGCAAATACAAGTCTCTATCCGAAGAAATAATTTTCATCTAACATCCACTACAAGCCAAAAAAATCTCTAATCTGGATCTTAGAAACTACACTTCTAATAGTACAGGACTTTTAGAATTTCTGTACTCATTTTTCTTCTAAGTTATTGAGCTTCCTTCTCTTCCCCAGTGAGATCTTTATGTCATCCTTCTTTCAATGAGTATTCCTCTAAGTAGATGATAAAGGAAATGTTGCATTAGTTCTTGCTCATCTCATTCAATAAGCAGGCACCTGACATGAGCATTCCTCAACTGGATTTATATTAGAACAAAAAATTATGCAAAAGAATAAAGGAGCTTGAATAGTTTTATGCTATTCAAAATTAGTCTTCAATCCTGGCAATAGATTGTTTACCCCTATTGAAAAGAACTTCATACTTCTCACACTGGATGAACACAACAAATACAATCCCTCTATCATAGACAAGGCAATGCTGCAGTATTGGATGTACATCATCATGATTGGGATTTAAGTGCAAGAGTAATCCTTAAAAAAAATCAGAAATGTGCAGACATATGCGTATAGTCTCCAATATCAGAATTTACTTGCTAAAAAAGAGTTGGGGACTAGACACAAATGTGCAGACATATGCGTATAGTCTCCAATATCAGAATTTACTTGCTAAAAAAGAGTTGGGGACTAGACACAGTACTTCTCTGATAAGTCATCTTGGTTATCGTGGACCAAAAAAAAATGCTTAGGAATCTTTGGATCCATCGCTCCATCATTAAGAAGAGAGGGCAACTGGTTTGTATTGAAGAGGTCAACAAATTTGTTGACAGGATCTTCATCCTTAGATGAAACAGCCAAAAGACCTGATGCAGGATCACAAAAGGCAGAAAGATAGAAGAATATATAAGCACAAATTTAAAAGTCATCATACTACAAGCAAACAGGGCTGCCAAACTTAACTTACAAAAGGGGGAAGAGGAAGATCAAAAGACACCCAAAATAATGCAAAGGTTCATAGAAAACAAAGACTTGACATAAATATATGGCTTACATGCCACAGGATGATCAAAAGCTTCATGTTCCGAAAAACAGGCAGCAGCTACTAGCTCTTTGTTAAAATATTGAAACCATGATGGCAGAAACTCCAGTTCAGAGGCTGCATGCACATGCCAACTGTTGATTAGTCTAAAAATGTCAAATTCTTGTTATAGGGGTAATGACGTAACATTTTGTAAGAAACTTATAATATTATTTTGGACGTGAAAGTTAGATAACACTAAATCAACATACATATACTAGTGAAAAAGTAAGAATAAGGAAAGTCAGCAATCAGCCAGCTTCAATAATACATGTTCGACAGTCCATTTTGCATTCAGATATACTTTTGTCTATTCATATTTTCTTAACTTTTTTCTGAGGAATCACAATTGGACTTCAACTGTTTCAAGCTGGGGGCTATAACTTACTCGCTAGCACAGTCTCAATTTGAGGTGGGTCTGAAGAAAACTCCAGAAGATCTTTTTCTCCTGCATGAGTGATAACTTGTTTTAGCCTCTCCTTGGCAACCTGGATCAGCAAAAATCGGATTCAAAAAAGAAAATTGCAGGCGAGCTTTATGGATGGTTTTCAGTCCATCACTAACACCCTCAAGGCTCAAAATAAAACACAAATCAAATGGGCCCTTAGTTATTAGATAGCCTTAGGAAGTGAGACATCCTATAGTTACTACTAATTTCTATCTATCCTTTCACGAGTATTCCTTTAAAAATGAACCTACCCAACTCCTAAAAGTAGTATTAAAAAATTACTTCTTTAAGTAGAAACCAACTAACAGTCTCCTACTGATTAGTCCATCTGACATGTCTCTTTTTAAAGGAAAAATGTGACAAACTCTGCTCATGAGATAACCCCACCTTCAATAATATGCCAAGGAATGTCTCTCAACCAGAAATGAAAATTCTAAGTCAATACAAAAATACAATACAAGTTTATATACTCCCAAGTCCCACCTCAGCTTTACATCTACATGGAATATTGAAATTTGAATCTCAACTTCTCCAATACTCATGAACACCTTTCACAGTGCAGTCGGTTCTCATCAACCCCTGTAGAGCCATAGACCAAGAAAAAATGCATCTATAGCAAAGTTGAGTGTCTACCCACTTTCTCATGCCACATCCTCTACACTGAAAATCTCCAGAAGCAATATGGAAAAAAATCAAAATACCTTATTCATCTAAGCCCTTGTTTGATTCCCATTAATTTGGCCACAAAAATGAAAAATATGACCGTTATCTATCACATCAAACCATCATATTTGACTTTCTATCTTTTATATAGATCCATAATGGTTATATTTTTCATTCTCATTCTTACAAAAATGGATACCAAACGAGACCTAAAACGAGTTCTATTACAGTAGCTATTTTCTCTTTCTTCTTCTCTCTCGACAAAAATCTATTACTCGAAGTTATGTAGAACCGATTTACGCTTTATAGAGCATCAACTCAATTTTTGCATGGTAATAAAGCCAAAGCATAATGGAAAGGTTAGTACTGCAACAAGAATTGAGTTTAGCAGTTGATTGAAGCACGTAATCTTACTTTATATTCTCTTCTTCCTTGCTTCAGAAATGCTTGAATTCGAATATTATATTTTCCAAATGCATAGACTCAATCCTTCTCTCTGTGAATTTTAATTGTTGAAATACAAAGAAATTCACCAGGAAAAATAAATTAACCCTATATCACCCATATTCCCCTTCGACCCCCAGACTTTTCAAATCAATTCCCCTTGAGATAATGAAAAATAACACATAAGCTTCCCGATTTCCTGATCCCATTTATCTAAGACTGGGACCACAGTAACCGATAAATTTCATCATGTTCTGCAATATATTAGTACTTGCTTCAACTGATAGCTATTGAGTATTATGTAAAGTACTGCGGCTAAAAGACCCTAAACTTTATAAATCAGTGTTCACACTAAAAACGAAATAGAGATCTCGTTTCAACAAAACTGAGAAGACAGTAATCATTATGCAACGAAGGTCAGAAACTCTTTCCTTAGTAAAGTTCTGCAGTATCAAAACCTCCACACCACGTGAATGCACCCCAGGCAGCACTCCCTAAAGAAACATATACGCCCAAAGCCCCCTGACTTCGCACCATGTCTGATTTATTCTATTAAAAAAATACAAAACATGCACAGATGTCATTTCCTAGTTTTATTATGCTGTGTCAATTTTTTATTCCATGCAGTGAGCTTGGAGAGCACATTTACCTATGCTTAAAAGCACCTCTTTTAGGTGCTTAGGCCATCTCCAACCCAGCACCAAATTTTGCACCATTTTGCACCAAATTTTGCACTAAATCTTGCACCAAACCAAAATTCTTCTCCAACCATTTCACCAAAATTTACACCAAATGAACAGTGATTTATTATTTTATTCATTCTTTCGATTTTTAACAATATATTTATTTTAAAATATTATTTATTTATTTATTTATTTTATAACTATATATATTACTAAATCATAACTTCATTAAATTAAAACTTCACATGTCATATATATTATGTTAAATTGACAAAAATAATTGATTATATTATTAATTTATGATAAACAATTACGTTAAATTTACAAAAATAATAAACTTTAATAATATAATTAATAGTGTAATTAATTAAGTAATTATTATTATTATCATCATTATCATTATCATTATCATTATTATTATAGAATGAAAATGACACAAATGTCCTTAACCATTATCTTTAAAAAAAGAAAAATAAGGGTAAAATGGACATTGCACCATTTGGTGCAAAATGGTGCAACATGAATAGTGTTGCACCATATTTGGTGCAATACTATTCATTACACCATTTTTTGCACCAAAATTTGGTGCAATGGTGCAATGGTTGGAGGAAGTTTGCACCAAATTTTGGTGCAATTTGGTGCAATGGTGCAAGGGTTGGAGTTGCCCTTAGGGCATACTGCCCAGAGAGAGGTTAAAAATGTGCTTCTAAGAGCAGCCAAACATGTTGATAGTAAAACCTTAACGCCATCTACTAACTCAGGTTTCAATCATTTCAATCTAGAAAATTTAAACACCAGGATTGCATAATATGTTAAGAACGTGTAAACAGATATACTTTTAAGTAAATGCACCTCAATATTTGGCTGCCGAATTTCAGATGCATAGAATAATCTCAATCTGAATTTTCTTAGCCTGTAAGGCTGATCGCTAGCAGTCCTCACTGGCACTGAAGATTACCCAATTAAAACAATTAGCATACCACAATATATGAAAGCGCCAAATATGGTACCAAGCCAATTAGGAGATGTACCGTCGATATTGTTGAAATTACAGAAGGGGCTAAGCATTTCAGTGAAGGAGAGGCCGTTTTTCCGGCAGGACTCCTCCACGAGTGGCGTACGGAGGACCATGACCACCGGGGATATCTCGTCCAATAGCATCCTGCCAAGTGTCGTGTTCGCCGGATCCACCATCGCCATCGGTCCTATTCCGGTTGGCGAAAAGACGAATCTTGGTAACTCACTCACTCAGACACTCGGGAGTGATCTCGACTGGGTTGACTCGTTTGTTATTGATTTTTGGTATGAGAAAGCTGAACACAGATCTTGAGAATCATGGAAGGAGATCTTGAAAGGTCGCTACAATATGGGCTGATAAAGGCCCATTGGATATGTAATGGGCCACGGGAAATGGACGCAAAAAGTACTTCGGGCCTTAGGCCTTTTTCTCTGTCTCTGCCCTTCCCAAGTTCTTTTGGAAGCTTACACAAATAGCATGGATTAAATTTTGGGAAAATTGTAGTAGTGGTCCCTAAACTTTTCATTTTTTGTAAAAATTATCCTAACCTTTATTTTGTGTCAGCGAAGGTTCCTAACATTTCATAAATATGCACTTGAGGTCCATCTGGACGGAAATCGTTCAAACATCAACAGTTGACCTGAAAAATTAAGGAATTAACATTCAACAAAACCATCCAAAACACCGTCCAAAAATGTATCAACATCCAATAAAATCGTCACGATAGCAAATAGTTCAAGAAATTTTCTCAATCAACTGACGGTGTTTTGGACGATTTTCCATCCAGATGGACTTCAGGTGCATATTTATAAAATGTTGTGGACCTTCGCTGACACAAAATAAAGATTAGGATAAGTCTACAAAAAATGAAAATATTAAGAACCGCTACTACAATTTTTCCTTAAAATCTGGATAAATCTGTTTGTAGATAATTTTATGTACATAAGGGTGTCTATACATTCACATTATGTACACCCAACACAATCCTTAAATTTTCATGAACATAAAATGTCATTACAGGTTAATATGTGATTAATTTTTTGTCTTGTATAACCCTTGTTTGTTGTCCCTTCTTTTTAAGATAAAGAGTTCTGAATAGTGTTTTTTTATAAGAATGTGTGGCCAAAAAATAGAAAAAATTTGAATTTTTGTACAAAATATTTTATTATGTAAATATGTGATTGAAAATAAGTATATAAAAAAGAGTTTTAAAAATATGAGAATTAAATAGGGGCATCATTTTATCAACTTTTCTCTCTTTTTTATTTATCCTAGGGTTGGGAAAACTCCCCAACTGAATCGGATCGAATCGAATCCGAACCAAATTAGGCGATTCTTTTTAAGTTATATACCCGAATGGGTATCTGAATCGAGAACCTACGAGTTCAATTTGATTTTCGGTTCTAGATCAAGAATCGAATCTTCCTAATTTTTTAAAATTTATTTATTTTAAATCAGCTAAATTATTTTTTTCTAAATAAATTTGCTAACTAATTAATTTAATTCAAACCCAAAAATATAATTTTTCTATTTTTAATTTTCAGTCCAAGTCCAACTTAATCAAATTGACTTAAGTTTTACCCAGATTTGTTATTCTACCGTAGTGTAGTTTCTACCATTTTGAAAAAATCGAACTGAAGCTCAAGAGCTTCTCTCTTAATTACTGTAAGCTCGCTATCGTCTTCTTCCTATGATTTTAATGATTAAATTTATGAAGAATTTAGCAAAGAGAGACGCAAAAGACATATAAGATTAGACTATATTATTTTGTAAGAGTTGAGATTGAACATGTCATTAGTTAAATTAAATTTAGTTTTGTTAATATTAAAAAAAATTAATTATAGTACAAAACTTGAGAAGCGAATGGAACCGAACCTAAACGGTTCCATAGTTAAATTTGGACCCGACGATTCTACTTATTAAATACTAGAAAATTTCGGTTCTAGTTCGGTTCTCGTTAGAATCGAACCGGACCATGCCCACCCCTAATTGATCCTATGATTTTGATCGGTGATATCAATAAACCACACGATCTAAAAGACTATCTACAAATTGAATGAACAATGTGTCCAACAACTGGAGTGACGTGTATGTGCTATTGGTGCATGTATAAATGCATGTGCTCACCGTTACGTCTTGTTTAGGGTGGCTTATAAATGCATTTAAAAGCATAAGAGATGACACTTTTTTCTCTCTCGTACTGATAGATAAATCACCCCAAACATGTCATGGTCTAGACTTTCTTCCGCTTTTATATCAAATCTTATTTTTCGAAATCATTTGCATAGTCTCTTAAGTTAAAGTTTTAGGTCTTGTAACAATGAATGTGTGTTACAACTAAACCATGCCATAAATGATGTTTTATAGAGCTTTTTATAATCTATCTTCACTCATTGACCTCGAGAGATACATGGTATTATCGTGAACTTTATATTTTGACAATGGATAACCGTACATCGCTTTTATTGATAAATTGTGTTCGTCCCATATATTATTCCATATTAGCCACTAATATAACCACAACAATATTTCGAACTTCGGCTTAGCAAATTCATTCAGATATGTGTCCAAGTGCCTCATTTAAACATTCATCACAATTTTGAGCTTGTAAAGACAAGGATTAAGCCCCAACCATGTGGTCATGGCCTCTCATATCTAAGCCCCCGTTTGAGCCCCATTATTTCTCATTACATTAAATTAAATTTTTCTCTCTCCTACTTTCATCCACACAATCTTAATAAAATAATATTATACGTAAATTAAAAAATTTTCAACCACTCATTTATCAAAAAATACTATTCATCTCATTATAGTGCCAAATAATGGGGCTCAAACACACCCTAAGTTAGTTCTACCAAATTTAATAGCAACAAGTTGTGTCCCGCGCGTTTGTGCATGTGTGTAAAATTCCCTTGTTATGGTTTGTTATTAATTTGACTTCCTTGTTTACTAGTTCCTTTTTTTTTTTAAGGAATCTGTTGATTCTCTCTGAGTTAGTTGGATCATAGGTACGATAATTTACTTCACGGATTGCAATATGTTTCTGTCCATAAAGATCCCACCAAAGCATCTTCTACTTATAATAGACCATGAACTTGGGCACAATAATTGGTACACTAGAGGTGCGTCCTTCCAGGTCCTTTCCCTTGAAATTTGGGTTTTTAATTTGTATCTTGATTTAGGAGATTTTGAGAATAATTGCTAAGCTTAAAAAGTTTGCTTATAAGTAAATAAGTAAAATTTCAAAATTGATATTTTTTTCTCCTTATCGAAGTTGAAAATAAGTAAATTACTCGGTGCATGTTTGGCAAAGTTATAATTGCTTGTAAGTTGGTCAAACTTTAATTTTATATGCACATTCCGTAGGATAAAAAACTTTTACATACTTTTGCTCATGTATTATTTAGACTCACAGCTTATAATATAATAAAATTTTTGCCAAACATGCTCTTATTTGACAATAACATTACTTTCAAATGAACAAACTTTTTTTTTTACTTAAAAGTAAGTTATCCAAACATGTTTGGAGATAAAAAAGTTACTTATAGTAAACTTACTCTTTTTTAGCTCAGACAAACACGCTCTCAGTCTACCCCGTGATTAATTATATAAGAAAGAGAGTGTAGATTCTTTCCTTTTATAGTTAATTTTAACCCATCCTATAAACATAGTCTTTCTTTTTATAATCCTAAGACACAATAGTTATATAAATTCACTATTTCTTCTATTATTTGTCTCAATGATATTTATTTCGAAGTTTCTAACGAGGTTAGAACAGTTCTTGCCGCTTGAACAAGGTATAACCACCATTGCTTCTACTACCTTATATCAGACTTTTGTTGCCATGAAAATTGTTCTTGCCAATTGCCATCACCAAAGAAGCTGACAAATTAAGCGAGATCCTGTAGAAGTGTAATATTGTGCAGAACCTGATAGACAAAAAGATAACTATTTTAGTAAGAAATTCTCAATTGTAAGCTTTCTACAAAATTGCAATCAAATTTTCTTTCGTCCCGACGCGATCGAGATTAGGCGGAAGGTAGTCTAGCGGAGCAGACTACTGCCGCACGGTGTCCCTTTCTGTGCCAAGAAGAAAGGCACCCCGTGAAACCGAGTGCTGATACTGACGTGCACTGCACTGCATTGCCAGCAATACTTAAAAGCAAAATGTCGAGTATATCTTTATTTAAAAAGTCATATTCCGAAAGTCAACTCTATACTCAATTAATGAGGGTGTTTGATAGGCATTTTTATGTAAAAATGTATTTTAGAATAGTAAATTGATGTGAAATGTGTGGTTGAAAAATAAGGAAAAGTTTTTTATTTACGTGTAATATTATTTTAATAAAGAATGTGTGGTTGAAAAGAAGAGAGAGAAAAATACATTTTGAAGAAAATGGCTAACAAACGGGCTCAATATGATCTTTAATTCGACCAACTGATCAACTTTTTACTCCATCAATCAAAAGTTATTTTCCTTTTTTTTCTTTTTTCACCTGCTCAGGCTATTTTTGTCATCGTCCACCCTAAAAATCCTATTCTGATAATAAAAAAAGAATATTAATATATTTTATTCCTATAAATTTTCTTTTATATATATATATATATATATATATATATATATTATCATTTTTCCAATCCAACTATTGAATTATTCTTGATTTAGCAGTTGTGTCCAATTTTTTTCCCAACCCTTAAAATATTCTAAGTTGTTCATAATTTCTTGATCACCAAACTCAAACCTTTCTTTAAAAATTTCTCTCTGGATATATAAAAATTGTTATGCCCTTCACCAACCACGTCGAAGCGTAAGGGATACCCACCGACAAGGTGCTATGTGTCAAGTCGAGGCATTACCGAAGTGATATAAGCCATCCTAAACCCCAAGTCGACGTGCTATCAAGCACAAGCATTACCAAAATAATATTGTTCAAGGCTCCCGCCGATACCAAAGTGCGAAGAGACCAAGGCATCATGCGGCAGAGGAGGGCAGAGGCCACTCCACCTCCAGTTTCAGAGATATATCTCTGTGTCGGGATCTTCTATCTTTATGGATTGATTGATGTGACATCTTTACCTTATGTCAACTCACGTATCGGAAGAATTAATTGCCCGCTCCCTAGGACACGGCTAATTGACGCCTACGAGCAAACGCCTCACACCTCAAATGCATACACGTGTCCCACATCTAGCGGTGCCCTTTGCCTATAAATACCAAGGGATTGCCCATAGACAAAGGTAATGTTTTCTAATCCTAGCACTCCACAACCAAGTAATATATATGCTCTTCCCCACTGTCTCTTGCACAA